TAGTCCTACACTTATGGATACATGGTGTTTATGGAGGTACCAACCCAGATAGGTCTGGGAGTCCTGCTGCAGCACACAGTGGGGAGGTGGAAACATGGGTCTGAAAGCCTGGAGCCCTGAGACTTTAGCCTATATAACCCCCCACCTACAAAAACCATTCATTCCATATGGAATTAATACAATGCCTTAGGTGTTAATGCAATTCATTATGTAACCTTACACCTCTTAAAAACTAAACTATGGGTACTGTAAGTCAAACCCTGGATGGAAATATGTTTTAAATGAGACCACAGGTCCTTAACGTTTAAGTACAGTCTCCTCAGCACACACACACACACACACACACACACACACACACATACACACACATACACACACACGTGAGAACAGTAACAGTAACAAATCCTCAACATATCTCTTTATTATGAGCTGCATGTTTCTTCCCTGCTGTTTCACTACACTGACTTGCCGTAGGAGCCAGGTCCTACGTTTCATTAAATACCTTTTTTTTTTATGGCATCCTATTTCCTACATTGTACACTACTTTTGACCGTTGCCCAATGGCACCCTATACCATAAATAATGTAGTGCGCTTTAAAGGGAATAGGGTACCATTTGGGATGCAAACCTAAATGCTATGCTCATTTGGGTCAACCTTCCTTTGGAGTTCCACTGTGGAGCAGCCACTCATAATTCGTGGCCAGGAAATATTCAGGTCAGATTTATCCCCATCTACAGTTATAAATTACACTGGAAGTTTTTATTTCATCTCTGTAAACCCACTGGATATACTGCTGCAATGCAAACTCCAACACTGTGGGCCAGCCAGGCTTTATCTTTCCTGGATCTTGGAATAGTCTTGTCAACATTATAAAGAGAAAGGTGTTCCTGAAATACTATTGTGAGGTTGACCCAGCAATAGGATTTTAACAGTGAGGAGGCTGACCAAGTTGATGGATTTTTGTTGCCAAAGTTAGGCTTTTTATTTGGAAGGTGAATAATTAATATTGCCAACCACTGTACAAGTACTTACAAAAACAAATAAACAGCACGATGACCAATAAAAATCGAACGAAAACCCTGGCTTCACTCATGCCTGCACCAGGGAGCCTGCAAACCTTGCACTGTCAAGTCTCTGTCTGGCAAACAACGCAATGACAGGGTTTAACTACCAATGCCAATAATGCACCAGCCAATGGGAGACTGCCATTTCACACCATGTTCAATTAACATCACAAGGCAAGCCTTACAATACACACATGTTCAGATGATAAAGACATTTATATATACCAGCACACGTATCAATAACTGTGCTAAACTATGCTCACGCCATTAACTATACTCTGGGGATATAAACTACGTCCGCTATACCTGTAACCTGTATATACCATGCGTTCGAACGCACCCACTATTCGCCTGTAAAAATCAGATCAGGAAACAAGACTCAACTCTCTTCAATAAACAAGGAAATACAAGGTAAGCCTTTACATTTCTACAGCTTTACCTCTACGTTTCAGATGATAAACATGTTCACATCATAGTTGGAACTATTGATCGTTACATACATGTTTAGACAGGGAGACGCACAACAAACTCTCATACATGTCTCCTCTCGTTTGCAGGTGATCAACAATCAAGACATCGAAATACATCGCTAATCTCACATTATATTCAATAAATACCTCATAAACAGCTCCATAAACATTGTCTGGTTATTCATAATCAGGCCTAACTTTAGCTTAGGTGACAGAGATGATAGGACGATGTCACAGATATCATTCACATTATTACCAGGAAGTGAAACTGATCATTAAATAGAACAGCAGAAGAAAATACTTCTATGTTTAGACCTCACTATAAATGTGTTAATTAGTTTGTTATGAATTAATTAGGTAATGGCCTGGTAATAACTATTTAATCTGCCTCTACCATCAGTCCTATTAGCCAACGTACAATCATTGGATAACAAAATAGACTAACTAATATCACGTATATCCTACCGACAGGACATTAAAAAGTGTAAATTCTCTGGATTTATGTTGTTTTCAAGACAACTGGGAACTCTGAAAAAAACAAGGTTGGATCATGACGTCAGTGATCTTCAGGTCGGAGCTCTAGTAAGAGGCCAGAGTTCCCGACTTGGAATTCCGAGTTGGATGACCATTCAAAACGTATTTTCCAACTCGTTTTTTTCTGAGTTCCCAGTTGTCTTGAACTCACTGAAGTCTGAGATTTCCCAGTTCCGAGTTTAAAGTTGTTTTGAATGTGGCAGAAGTCATGCTGGAATGACAGCATGGCCAATGTTGAATGTTTATCCTTTTAAGCTTGGAAAAGAGACCCTTAAACTCAGACATGGACCACACACCCACTCCACTGAATAGCAGGCTAGTGATTGCTTTGCAAAGCTTGCAGTTAGCCACTGATTCCTTCCGAACCACTCATTGTTGAATTTGCGATTTCCAACTTGTGTAATGTTTATGCCCAATGGCTGATGAGCACCAATACGTTTTATCTATAATTTATCTTCATAACTTCTCTTCATATGACAAGGATTGAAAAGGATTTGCAAGGAGATTGTCGACTTGATTTTTGATGATGACTGCTAGCTTGCTAGCTAATATTTTTGAAGTATGATGTTGACATGATCAGTCCAATAAAAGCTATGGTAGATATAACGTTATTTGATGTCATTTTATCTGTGGCCAATGACCTTGAGCCTTCTTGGATGGGCACTTCTAATGTAACTCTATGGCAGCACCCAATGGGCTTGTATTTTCGAGCTCTCCCTGTAGATTTTGTGGTGATGTAGTGTCCCCATGAGTGACAGAACACTGAGCCAATCCCGGCGCAAATAGAGAACATTACCAACCCCTACGCTCCGTATTTTCCGCAGGCTGCCCCACCACCACAGAAAGCACTGAGCTAGGCTGAAACACCTGCATTTTGGAGCTGCAAAAAAGAGACCATGTTTGTATGTGGCTTTATTAACTAAATTATTAAAATATATATATATACATTGTTTGCAAACTGATATGTGACACGTATTAACGGCAAAATAACATGTTTAGCTCTGCCCCACCTGCCCTGAATGACGGGTCGCCACTGGATATGGAGCTTTCGGAAACAGGAAATGGCACCCTATTCTCTATAGTACACTACTTCTGACCAGAACCCTATGGGCCCTGGTCAAAAGAAGTGCACTAAATAGGGAATAGGGTGTCGTTTCGGCCTCCCCCATAGAAAGAGTTAGGCGGACTTTGTAGACTTTACTCTAGGATAGATTTATTTAGCCTGATCTCAAAACTCAAAATGATGAAAAATAATTAATGGGCAGATCAGATCTGTATATTAATAGAAATGTTTCAGTTCTCTATTCCCAGGACAGAAATAACTCTCTCTCTCTTCAACACACCAGAAGAGGAGTCGAAATTGGTTTGATATTATGCAAAGAAAAATAATAAAGTTCGGTTCTCAGAAATAGGCCTATAAATATTGAAAGGCGCAGAGAAAATATTAGCTATAGACCAGGGATCATCAACTAGATTCAGCCACGGGCTGATTTCTCCTTGAGCGGATGGTCAGGGGGCCAGAACATAATTACAAATAATTTGTAGACTGCAAATTGACCGCAAGAAGCCCAAACAGATACCATATTTGACTAAAACATAATCATTTCAAACCTTGCTTACATTTGTATACAATCACATATCTCTCTCTATTATGCATGGGAAAACTTTAGAACAGATTTCCAAAATTAAAATCACTTGGAGCTGATTTCCTGGTGTTTTTACAGTCTTTTATGTCCAACATTCTTTTTTTTATAACTAAAAAACTAATATTTATACATGTTTTTGATCAGAAAACTGTTATATACTGTATAATGTGACAGACGTCAGGACTATAGACTGTATATTGTGAAAGATGGCAGGGCTATATACTGTATATTGTGCCAGATGGCAGGACTATATACTGTATATTGTGCCAGACGGCAGGACTATAGACTGTATATTGTGACAGACGGCAGGACTATATACTGTATATTGTGACAGACGGCAGGACTATAGACTGTATATTGTGACAGACGGCAGGACTATATACTGTATATTGTGACAGACGGCAGGACTATATACTGTATATTGTGACAGACGGCAGGGCTACGCAGGTTGTCTCTCCACCAACAGATGGCGCTAACATACAGTACTTCTGTAACGTTCTCTCATCGTGTTTCAGATTGTGTTAACATACTTCTGTAAAGTTTTCTCATATGTAGTGTTTACAATTCTAGTATATAATCCATTACTCATAACTCATTCAATATGCTCATTCCCAATTAGCCTACAATAATGCATATGTGTAGGTTATTAGGCTATTGTAGGCTAGTTTACACATGTGTATTCACCATTGAAAGTGCATTTAGTCAGTGAGATATTAGGAAATACGATTTAAAATGTTTTGACGCATGTTTTGTGTTTAAACCCCCCAAAAAATACGCTTCCGAAGCCGAGCAAACAATGCGCACCTGGCATGCTGCATGGACCGCACAGGAGAGAGAGGGACAGGCAGCAGTCTACTAGGCGGACACCTCCAAAGTCACAACTGTCCCAACATTGGGACATTCCTTTACACGGGTCGCCCTCTGAATGAAACCAAGCATGCCTGGTAATGTTTGTCAAAGGGTGGTAATAATTTATGTAATACGGGTGTAATAAGGTATTATGCACTTAAATTACGTTATTGTAGGCTACACATGTCATTTGAACTTCAGCACAGCTCTCGGCAGTGTTCTGTTTGAATAGAAATGTCATTTGCTTAGTGGGATTGCCCTTCGAGTTTGCTCCACCCAAAGAGGATATGGGCTGTTGGAGCAGGGACTAGGCTATGTTGCCAAAAAAAGAGATGTGAGCTGAAGTTGCTGAACTATTGAAAAGCCATGCTGAGAAGTTCGGGGGTAAAGTCCTATGTGAGTTTTAATCACATGGCATTTTAAGAATGCTCCAAAGATGGCGGTAGCTACAGTAATTTCGGGGAACAGAGTACAAAAAAGTGGATTTTTGGAGGTTTTGGTGAGGGACCGATGGCACAAAGTTTTGGCCAACTTGAACGAAGAAGCCCTAACGCTGAGTTGCGAGGATCTGGGAGAGAATGAGAACCTAAACGGCATCACCAATGGATCTTACCGGAGCAACGCAACTCACCCGGATCACACGAACAGTCCGAAAACTGCGGTGAGGACAGCTTTCACGGATTTACAGGAGCAAGTGCCAGAGGCGATCGCTAACAGAAAAAGATGCGTGAAAGTAATAAAGCAAGAGGTAGGGGGACTCGGCATCAGCATAAAAGGAGGAAAAGAGAATAAAATGCCGATACTTATTAGTAAGATCTTCAAAGGTCTGGCTGCGGATCAAACCCAAGCCTTGTATGTCGGGGACGCGATTCTGTCGGTGAACGGTGTGAACCTGCGAGACGCTACGCATGACGAGGCGGTGCAGGGGCTGAAACGAGCCGGGAGAGAAGTGACGCTAGAAGGTAAGAACAGAACGGGACCAACTGTCGTTCGATACATTCTTTCTTGGTGAAGGATGGGGGGCGGGTGGCATCCTCAAACCTATGTGCAGGCTGCCAGCGGAATTACGCACATTAATATGTGTGCTCTCAAACACATGAGTGATCAACCTCTGTCAACTGGGCACACGAACATAAATATTTGTTTTTGCAATTTTCTAAATACTTTCAATATTATTAATTTCCATGTCGGCTCTATGCCTGGAATGCCCTTTTCCTGGGCAAATGATGCCCATTTCAAACTCTCCAAAATAGTGTTTACAATTCTAAAAACTGGCAATAATAGATATTAACTGAGAAATGATCTTATGTACATTACCAGTCAAAAGTTTGGACACACCTACTCATTCCAGGGTTTTTCTTTATTTTTTACTATTTTCTTCTTCATTGTAGAATAATAGTGAAGACATCAAAACTATGAAATAACACATATGGAATCATGTAGTAACCAAAAAAGTGTTAAACAAATTCTTCAAAGTAGCCACACTTTGCCTTGATGACAGCTTTGCACACTCTCAACCAGCTTCATGAGGTAGTCACCTGGAATGCATTTCAATTAACAGGTGTGCCTTGTTAAAAGTTAATTTGTGGAATTTCTTTCCTTCTTAAGTTGTTTTCGGACAAGGTTGGGTTGGTATACAGAAAATAGCCCTATTTGGTAAAAGACCAAGTCCATATTATGGCAAGAACAGCTCAATTAAGCAAAGAGAAATGACAGTCCATCATTACTTCAAGACATGAAGGTCAATCTGGAACATTTCAAGAACATTGAAAGTTTCTTCAAGTGCAGTCGCAAAAACCATCAAGCGCCATGATGAAACTGGCTCTGATGAGGACCGCCACAAGAAAGGAAGACCCAGAGTTACCTCTGCTGCAGAGGATAAGTTCATTAGAGTTACCAGCCTCAGAAATTGCAGCCCAAATAAATGCTTCACAGAGTTCAAGTAACAGACACATCTCAACATCAACTGTTCAGAGGAGACTGCGTGAATCAGGCCTTCATGGTCGAATTGCTGCAAAGAAACCACTACTAAAGGACACCAATAAGAAGAAGAGACTTGCTTGGGCCAAGAAACACGAGCAATGGACTGGTGGAAATCTGTCCTTGTCGATGAGTCCAAATTTGAGATTTTTGGTTCAAACCGCTGTATCTTTGTGAGATGCAGAGTAGGGGAATGGATGATCTCCGCATGTGTGGTTCCCACCGTGAAGCACGGAGGAGGAGGTGTGATGGTGCTTTGCTGGTGAAACTATCAGTGATTTATTTAGAATTCAAGGCACACTTAACCAGCATGGCTACCACAGCATTCTGCAGCGATACGCCATCCCATCTGGTTTGCGCTTAGTGGGACTATCATTTATTTTTCAACAGGACAATGACCCAACACACCTCCAGGCTGTGTAAGGGCTATTTTACCAAGAAGGAGAGTGATGGAGTGCTGCATCAGATGACCTGGCCTCCACAATCACCCGACCTCAACCCAATTGAGATGGTTTGGGATGAGTTGGACCGCAGAGTGAAGGAAAAGCAGTCAACAAGTGCTCAGCATATTTAGTCATATGTGGGAACTCCTTCAAGACTATTGGAAAAGCATTCCAGGTGAAGCTGGTTGAGAGAATGCCAAGAGTGTGCAAAGCTGTCATCAAGGCAAAGGGTGGCTACTTTGAAGAATCTAAAATTTAAAATATATTTTGATTTGTTTTACACCTTTTTGGTTACTACATGATTCCATATGTGTTATTTCATAGTTTTGATATCTTCACTATTATTCTACAATGTAGAACATTGTAAAAATAAAGAAAAACCCTTGAATGAGTAGGTGTGTCCAAACTTTTGACTGGTACTGTAGTTTCTTGCAATAGCCCTCTGTGAGATTTTGTCAACGAACAAGGAATGAGCAGGGTCAGCTATACCATAAGGACCTCTTATTCATGTTCTCATTACATGTAGTGCAACAAGACCATTGGTCTGTAAATCTGATAGATTTAAACAAACAATATTGGAATCACCATGGTAACAACCAACTGTCAGCTCCATCTGCCTGATAGATTATGATAGAATATGAATTTTGAATGAAGTAAAACATCAACTCCATCACAGTGCTGAAAGATCTGATAGAATGGTTATGTTTTTATTGGATATTTTTTAAATGAATCATTTTCCATATTTTACAAACGTTTGTTTTGAACTTTTACTTTTAGAGGCAAAAAATATGTCTGTTTTGAGTATTTGTCGTCAACTCCGTAAGTGGCTTGTCAACTCGACCACTGATGGCTAACCCCATTAAGATCAATTTATTTTGTAAATAGCATTTAATAGTGCTATAAAACAGAACAAAAATTATTTTAATTTATCAAAAGGGTTTTATTTAGTTCTCCATAGACTTTAGTTACATTTTCACCTACTAAAATAAAAATGTTCAATAGGCCTATCAGCAACTTCAACTGTTTACGTAATAAGGAAATATGTCCTTGTTCCTTGTCAATAAATATTTAGGTGACTCCCTCTCCATGTTGCGAAATCGAATACTTTGAATTTCTGAGGAAATCTTTATCATCCAACCTTGGACACCAATTGGGAATCGTGCATCACAGGACTGGGAGTGTAATATCAAGTTTTGCCAAAAACTATACAGGCTTACACACATTTCTCTGCAGTCCTATGGGTGAAACACACATGTCCAGAAGGAGAATCAAAGAAACAACCTCTACCTCACTATGTAACCAGACAACATAAAACTGTCTGTTGCCTTGTATAAACAGCCTGACCTTCCCCTGAGAGAGCAGGGTTATTACACACACGCACACACACACACACACACACACACACACACACACACACACACACACACACACACACACACACACACACACACACACACACACACACACACACACACACACACACACACACACACACACACACACACACACACACAAACAGAGAGAGAGAGAGAGAGAGAGAGATCAGGGTTATTACAGTTCTAGCAGAAGGAAGCAGGATCCCAGCAAGGCAGAGCAGACTTCTGCTGTAATGATAAGCTCAAAGACAGTACGGGGTTGGAGTCAGAGGAGGCTGGTGGGTGGAGCTATAGGAGGACTGGCTCATTGTAATGGCTGTAATGGGATTATTGGAACAGTATCAAACATATGGAAACCATATGTTTGGCTCCATTCCATTTATTCCATTCCAGCCATTACAATGAGCCTTTCCTCCACAGCTCCTCCCACCAGCCTCCTCTGGTTGGAATGCATAGTCAGCTTCTCTCTCAGTTGAAGCCTCACTACACCAGAGGACTCCCATGTTTCAGCTTCTTGCTCAGTTGAAGCCTCACTACACCAGAGGACTCCCATGTTTCAGCTTCTCTCTCAGTTGAAGCCTCACTACACCAGAGGACTCACATGTTTCAGCTTCTCTCTCAGTTGAAGCCTCACTACACCAGAGGACTCCCATGTTTCAGCTTCTCTCTCAGTTGAAGCCTCACTACACCAGAGGACTCCCATGTTTCATCTTCTCTCTCAGTTGAAGCCTCACTACACCAGAGGACTCCCATGTTTCAGCTTCTCTCTCAGTTGAAGCCTCACTACACCAGAGGACTTCAATGTTTTAGCTTCTCTCTCAGTTGAAGCCTCACTACACCGGAGGACTCCCATGTTTCAGCTTCTCTCTCAGTTGAAGCCTCACTACACCAGAGGACTCCCATGTTTCATCTTCTCTCTCAGTTGAAGCCTCACTACACCAGAGGACTCCCATGTTTCAGCTTCTCTCTCAGTTGAAGCCTCACTACACCAGAGGACTCCCATGTTTCAGCTTCTCTCTCAGTTGAAGCCTGACTACACCACTGCGGAGCAGAGCCAGTAGGGAAGGACAAACGGTTTGTTACATTACAATGATATCATTTTCTATAAAAGCTACATTATTTGTATTGCACACAAACACATGTACCCACACACACACACACACACACACGCAATGTTATATCCTGTGTAATACACTGGTTGTAAACAACCGTGCTAGTCTCCAGTAACTCAGTGACCTCTCATTGAGCCTCTACTGTCTACTGCTTGGCTGTCATCACATTCACCTCTGTGTGTGTGTGTGTGTGTGTGTGTGTGTGTGTGTGTGTTATCAGCAGGCAGTCTAGACTACAACGCTCTCTGCAAGTTGACTGGTTGTTGTGTCTTCAGAGAAGCTCTCATCACTACACCAGCTGTTAGTAGTAGTGAGGCCACACACACACACACACACACACACACACACACACACACACACACACACACACACACACACACACACACACACACACACACACACACACACACACAAGCTATGATGACAGAGTGAATCATGCCATCTACTCATAGCCTAGTACAGTTTAGAATACAGTTTTCTCAACACTCCTATCCACTCTGTGAATTTACTGATTGATTAATTTACTTTGACGTTTCCTGAATGAATTATTTGAACATCCTCCTTTAACTTGTTTCCATAAGCTACAGTACAGACTCCCCTACTGTTTGTTCTTATAGATTACGTTCAGGCTAAGTTATGTTATGAACACACTCACTCTCACTGTGATATTGTCTAATATTTCTGCTAAAGTTCATACAAACTGTAGTCCATTTAACCGGGCATTCAAGTACCTGTTCTTGCTTTGATAACATCGTACATTTCAGGCGGCACAGGGAAAACGATACCTTGTAGACCTCTCTGTATTCTCTAAAAGGTATTTTGTTCTGTAGCAGTATCTACCTGTCCATTCAGTGGAGGTAAAAAGAGCTCCATTCTTATTCCGTAATTAAAGTCTCATAAAAGGGCCCTTTTTGTTTCCTGGCCGTGTAATTCATCCAGAAGTTACTCACGCCTATTAGCCATTTTCTTCTCTGAGCTCAATAAGAGCAGCTAACAAAGCTCCCCATTCTGTACCTATGTAATGAATGTAACTAGCTCTAATGGCTGTGTCTAGTTAACAGGGTGGCAACACAAAGACTAGGTTATTATTACACCGGACAATAGGGCAGATAGATTCAACGTTATTTCAGAATTCAGAGGGATGCTGGCTATTATAATGGCTTCCATTATATGGATAATAACTGAAGAAATGAATTGCACCTAACCATTAGGCTGAGATTCTCTAAATTAATTGGGGTTTCTACCAGATGTGTTTCTATGGTGACATTTTTTCATTCAGAAAGGTCATTCGGCCTGTTTCTATGAGCAAGCAGTTCAGCAAGCAGTTCATAGGACAGAGTTCATAGGCCGGAGTAAAGACACACTGCCCAAACCATGGGCTCCCGAGTGGCGCAGGGGTCTAAGGCACTGCATCTCAGTGCTAGAGGCGTCACTACAGACCATGGTTTGATTCCAGGCTGTATCACAATCTGGTCGTGATTGGGAGTCCCATAGGGCGGCGCACAATTGGCCTAGCGTCGTCCGGGTTTGGCCAGCTTAGGCTGTCATTGTAAATAAGAATTTGTTCTTAACTGACTTGCCTAGTTAAATAAATAAAAAACAACATGCATGTGGTCGATGAGTAAGAACGCGGCCAAACCATGATACATTATCCTCTCATGCTATATTTTGCGAATACATTAATTATCAAAAAGGAAAATCTTGCTAGTTAATTATTCAGATTCAGTTTGAGCTCATGTCTTTTGTAGCAAAAACAATCCCCACAGGAAGTACAGACTCCCGAGGCATAGCAGTAATCATAAACATATGAACCCTGCCTGCTTTTATTTTCCCCTCTACTAAAATGGAACATTTCTATTTTGAAACAGAGTTGAGAACACACAGGTATACTGTAGATTCTAGTGATTCTGATCACTAGAGAACTTTTCATCATACTTACACGTCACTGTCATTGACTCATTCAGTTTTCAGGATATTGGTTTAGTTGAGTTTCTCAATGTGTTGACACACAGACACAGGTGTGTTATCTTATTGCAAAGCTGCTTTAAGTAGTGGTGGAGAAGCGGAGAAGCAGCCACCACAGTGACGTTAGTGACAGTAAAGAAAATAGTCAAACCAGGAAGGAAAAAGCAGTGAAAGAGGGAAAGGTAAACGAGAGAGGAATACTCAGAGTTCTGTGTATGACCTCACGCTCAAAGCATCCCGCTGGCGCCTGAACTAATGACACCAGAACTACAACAAAAGCATGACGATGAGATGAAAGGGGTTCAGCAAGGATTCCCCGTAAGATTACTTCATACCCTGCAGTTGCAGAGGTAGGCCTATTTTCTTTGTCAGATCTGTCTGTCAGCTTCTATGCATAATGATAGTCTTAAACTTCTGTTAGATATTGATACCTTTCTTTACCTGTCTTACTTATTCTCCTTGGTTCTTTAAAGAACAGGGCCTGTACTCGTGTTTCAGTGGAGGCTGCTGAGGGGAGGACGGCTCATAATAATGTCCGGAACGGAGTTGATGGAATGGCATCAAACACATGGAAACCATGTGTTTGATGTATTTGATACCATTACTCTAATCCCGCTCCAGTCGTTACCACGAGCCCGTCCTCCCCAATTAAGGTGCCACCAACCTACTGTGTCGTGTTTGTTCACCTTTGGAGTACATCTTTGTCATATTATCCTCTGAAACCTTCCCTTGGATTGATGTAATACGAACAGTGATAACCAGATCTGTTTGTCAGCTGATATGTTTAGAGCTCCATAGACCTATTATATATAAGATATTGCCACTTCTCCTTAGACATTGATGTAATGCAGTCAGACAGATCACTGTTGGTGTAAGCGGATACCTGCTTTTTGCACTGAGTAAATGGTTGACATCAGTGTTATTCACATGGCCCTGTAATTTAAAAAAGGTCTCCATACAGTCTGATACAGTGTGTTTATAGCAGGGTAATACTAGCTATGTTATTCATGTCTACTGTGACTCGTGATCTATGCTGTGGATTTAACGTGATTCCCAGATTGTGTGTATGAAACTGTGAAGCCACCAAACGACCAATGAATCCCATGTCCCAGAGCTGCGGTCTAAAGTAGAATTAGGTCTTGTGTGGTATGGAATACTTCTAATTGCTCTAAGCTCTCAGCTGTTGGCCAGGTTCACATCCACAGTTCGGAGCGATCCATCTAATGCTCTCAAACAATGCCGACCAACGTTTTCCCATGGAGGTGTAATATCTTTGAGTTCACAGAAAGTGTTAAACTGGGTACAAGGTATAATGAATGGATATTACAGAATGGATTAACACTTATAATAGAACTGGACCACTAATAGAACTGGACCATTAATATAACTGGACCACTAATATAACTGGACCACTAATATAACTGGACCACTAATAGAACTGGACCATTAATAGAACTGGACCACTAATAGAACTGGACCACTAATAGAACTGGACCACTAATAGAACTGGACCACTAATAGAACTGGACCACTAATAGAAATGGACCACTACCGGCCTGGTACACATTGTGGGGTTACAGCAGGGTCACTTTATGAGTCTGCATGTCAATCTCCTCTATAAGATACTAGCTAGCTCTACTGAAGTTACATTGGCAAGGACTCTTAGCACTATCCTCACCAAAATGACAGCAGTAAATGCATGACCTCTCTACCAATGAAAGCGTAGTAAATCATTACTTTCTCTTGTTGGTCCAGGGAAGTACATGCGGGAAGCAACCCCCTAAACAGGTTGTGAAAAAGCTTACTGTCACGACTTCCTCTGAAGCTGCCTCCTCTTCTTGTTCGGGCAGGCTTCGGTGTTCGTCGTCACCGGCCTTCTAGCCACTGCCGCTCCTCATCTCATCATTCCATTTGTTTTGTCTTGTTTATTACACACACCTGGTTCATATCCCCTCATCAGTACCTGTATAAGTATTCCCTCTGCCCCCCATGTCTTTGTGTGTGATTGTTTCATGTGGAGGTGATGATAGCTCAGTGGAGCTTTATGTATTGTATCACTGGGTTATTCACCCGTGTGTTTTGTTTTCTCCAGTGTGCCATTATAACGCAATGTAGTGTTTTACTCATTGCTGCGAACCGCTGTATTGGCTGAATAAACCATTTATTATGTGATTCTCCCTCCTGCGTCTGACTTCGTCCAAATCACCCACTACAGAATCACACACCCAACAGCATGGAGTCAGCAGGAGCGGCGAATGTGCCTGGAGTCGTGGAGCGGGTCCGGGGGCATTCCAACATGTTAGCCAGTTTGGGCGAAGCGATGGATCGGGTTCTCCAGGTCGTCCATCGCCTGGAGAGAAGAGGACCCGACCCTGCGGAACCAGCTGAGCGACCGGATCATTACTTTCTCTTGTTGGTCCAGTGAAGGACATGCGGGAAGCCACCCCCTAAACAGGTTGTGAAAAAGCTTACTCATAATTGTCTTGTCTCTCATATTCTAGTGAAGTACATGCGGGAAGCCACCCCCTATGTGAAGAAGGGTTCTCCGGTGTCAGAGATAGGCTGGGAGACGCCACCACCGGAGTCCCCGAGGCTGGGTAGCCCCCACTCTGACGTCCCCCTCACCCCCACCATGTCCCTACAGGGGGACAGGAGGTACATCCCCTTAAAGATGTGTTACATCACCAGGAGCATGACTACTCCAGACCCTGAAAACAGGTAAAGGCTCCAGCATCATTCTGCATTACTATAATTCAGTCTTTCTCTGTATGTTATTTTCCACAGGGGCATAACGGCAGAGCTAGGTGGGGAAACACAATTATAATTGATTGGATTTATATTGCTAGTGTTTTGCCAGATACAGTGCCTTCAGAAAGTATTCATACCCCTTGACTTATTTGACATTTTGTTGTGTTACAGCCTGAATTCAAAATGGATTCAATTGATTTTTTCCCCACCCCATCTACACACAATACCACATAATGACAAAGTGAAGACATGTTTTTAGCAAATATATTGAAAATGAATTACAGAAATATCTAATTTACATCTGTAAGTCTCTAAGAGCTGTGTACACCAGGATTGTACAATATTTGCACATTATTCTTTTTTAAAGTCTTCAAGCTCTGTCAAATTGGTTGTTGATCATTGCTAGATAGCCATTTTCAAGTCTTGTTATATATCTTCAAGTGTATTTAAGTCAAAACTGTAACTAGGCCACTCAGGAACATTCACTGTCTTCTTGGTAAGCAACTCCAGTGTATATTTGGCCTTGTGTTTTAGGTTATTGTCCTGCTGAAAGGTGAATTTGTCTCCCAGTGTCTGTTGGAAAGCAGACTGAACCAGGTTTTCCTCTAGATATGCCTGCTTAGCTCTATTCCGATGACAAGCATACCTATAACAGCAGCCACCACCATGCTTGAAAATATGTAGAGTGGTACCCATTAATGTGTTGTGTTGGATTTGCCCCAAACATAAAGCTTTGTATTCAGGACATAAAGTGAATTTCTTTGCCATATTTTTGGCTGTTTTACTTTAGTGCATTATTGCAAACAGGATGCATGTTTTGGAATATTTTTATTCTGTACAGGCTTCCTTCTTTTCACGCTGTCATTTAGGTTAGTATTGTGGAGTAGCTACAATGTTGTTGATCCATCCTCAGTTTCCTCCTATCACAGCTATTAAATTATGTAACTGTTTTAAAGTCACCATTGGCCTTATGGTGAAATCCCTGACCGGTTTCCTTCATCTCCGGCAACTGAGTTAGGAAGGATGTCTGTATCTTTGTAGTGACTGGGTGTGTTGATACACCATACAAAGTGTCATTAATAACTTCTCCATGCTCAAAGGGATATTCAATGTGTGCTTTTTAAAATTGTTTTGCGCATCTACCAATAGGTGCCCTTCTTTGCGAGGCATTGGAAAACCTCCTTGGTCTTTGTGGTTGAATCTAGTGTTTGAAATTCGACTGAGAGACCTTACAGATAATTGTGTGTGGGTTACAGAGATGAGGTAGTCGTTCAAAAAGCATCTTAAACACTATTATTGCACACAGTGAGTCCATGCAACTTATTATGTGACTTGTTAAGCACATTTTTACTCCTGAACATATTTAGGCTTGCCATAACAAAGGGGTTGAATACTTATTGACTCAAGACATTTCAGCTTTACATTTTCTAAATAATTTGTAAAAATGTCTAAAAACATAATTCCACTTTGATATTATGGGGTATTGTGTGTAGGCCAGTGACACAAAATATCAATTTAATCAATTTTGAATAAAGGCTGTAACACAACAAAATGTGGAAAAAGACAAGGGGTGTGAGAGGACTTTATGTTGGCACTGTAGTAAAAGCAACATCTTACATTGTGAGGGGTGAGGGACTCATCTCATCCACCCCCAATGTGTCTCCCACTATTTGTTTTTCCTGGAACAGTGTAACATGGATGGTCGTCTCTGTGACAGTCAGAATTGATGAACTGCTACAGTTCTGCTACAGTAACTCAACTATCTGAGTGTTCAGAGTTTAAGAGATGCTTAACTTAATCAACCAATGTAGAGCAACGGTTCCTATCCTACACACACAGCTTACCTTATGTCCTCAGCTTTACCTTTACTTTAGGGATCAATTGATCATGCTCACCTTGTCTTTAGATAGGCCTGGTCTTTATACAGCCATTTAGATAGGCCTGGTCTTTGTACAGTCATTTAAATATGCGTGGTCTTTATACAGCCATTTAGATTTGCCTGGTCTTTATACAGTCATTTAGATATGCCTGATCTTTATACAGTCATTTACATAGGCCTGGTTTTTATACAGTCATTTAGATATGCCTGGTCTTTATACAGTCATTTAGATATGCCTGGTCTTTGTACAGTCATTTAAATATGCGTGGTCTTTATACAGCCATTTAGATTTGCCTGGTCTTTATACAGTCATTTAGATATGCCTGATCTTTATACAGTCATTTACATAGGCCTGGTTTTTATACAGTCATTTAGATATGCCTGGTCTTTATACAGTCATTTAGATATGCCTGGTCTTTGTACAGTCATTTAGATATGCCTGGTCTTTATACAGTCATTTAGATATGCCTGGTCTTTATACAGTCATTTAGATATGCCTGGTCTTTGTACAGTCATTTAGATATGCCTGGTCTTTATACAGTCATTTAGATATGCCTGGTATTTATACAGTCATTTAGATATGACACACAAACAATATCACTCAATACAAACAAATGCTAGGTTGTGATAGTGTGTTAGATGAACCTCTGTTTTTAATGATTTACTTCTGAGGTGTCTTGGGACTGACTGGGTAAAACATTCACTACTTTGATGGTTATTGTCATGTTTGTTACTGTCGTTCTACTGCAACACTGAGAACAGAGGTAAGACCTTTGTGCTGTGGCATAGAAATATAATTACTAGAAGGGGAAAGGACCTCAGAGCCATGGCAATTTGACTAGAAAGGGAATTGTCCCGCCGTTCTATTAATTCTATGTCTATGCTCTGTGGTCTGTGAGATTAACAACACTATGAACAGGAAATCAGTCACTGAGGGGTTAGACCACAACTAAGCTACTTAATGAAGAGCCAAATACTGCTCACATTACTTTTACTGGAGCCATACAGTGCATTCAGAAAGTATTCAGACCCCTTTTTTCCACATTTTGTTACGTTACAGCCTTATTCTAAAATGGATTATATACATTTTTGGATGGGGAGCGTCGCTGCACAGCTGTTTTTAGGTCTCTCCAGAGATGTAAATCACTAAAAACCGAGGTTAATCTAACACACTAACGAAGCCTAGCATTTGTTTGTAGTGTGTGATATTTACTGGAGTCACTACGATGTTTTGGCCCTCTATTAAGTACTTTAATCGTTTCAGCACGTTGCTCACAACAACAGGCTATCCTTCAGTTACTTTCGAGTTACTTACTGGAAGCTACCTGCTACCACATAAACACACACATGCTGGTATCTGAGTTTCTCTTGACGTGTGCTGCAGGCTTGTTGTAGCTGACTGGTAGAGAGGAGCAGAGCTTTCGTCACTAGTGGAAATTTAAACAGCTGTTACGTGAGAGACGTCCACACTACCCAGCCAGGAGAGGAGAGTTTCCTCCCTCCTCAGACAGATTTACTGCATATTTCTCTCTCTCTCTCGCTCTTCTCCCCCCCCCCCCCCCCCCCCCCCCCCCCAAGTCTGTGTTTGATGTGGAGACCTCTCCTGTTTATTCTAGGGCTGTAAATAGACTAGGCTTAATATTGACTGATTTAGTATTAACTTAGGATGTCATAGAGAGTAAAACAGGATGCTAAAGTGTAACAAATGTAAATACACAAACATGGTATTTTTAGGATTCAGCCAGGAGAGTTTTTGCATGCCTATTTTAGCTTGAGATATTTGCCTTTTCCGGGCAGTTTTTTTCTGGAGTAGAAAGCACTTTGTCAGTGGAAAACGAACAGGCAGACAGACCATCATTGACCAGGAAAGGCATTGAAACGTTCGACACACAGTGAGTCCGCTTTCTAAATCTGGCCTAGGCTTCTTTAACGGCCCTGTAGTTAGTGTCTCATGTTGGAGAGATGACCTGGCTGGACGTGGATGGGCCTTGAACGGGGAGAACTCACTTCGGTTCAAATACTATTTGAAATCTTTCAAATACTTTAGATGTGCTTGATTGAGCTTGTAAGTGGAATGGAACCAAAAGAATAGTTGCAAAACTGCAAAGCCCACCCATCTGGCACTCCAGGCAGACTAAAGCAAACGCTCAAAGTATATGAAATGATTCCGAATAGTATTTGAACCCAACAGGTCTTGGGGAGAGCTTGTGCCTCTTTCCAGGAACCTCTCTGTCCGTCTGTCTCTAACTAATGAAAACACTTCAGCTCCCTCCATATGACATCTGGCTTCTGTTTCTCCTCAATCAAGTCTCTGGTTTCTATTTTGAACTGCGGTGGGGGACTGGGGAGTGGGGGACTGGGGAGAGGGAGCACCTGCAGTTGATCTAGTGGTTTGTGAAATCATGATAACAGGGTCTCCCACTGTCTCTGATTAATGACAGGTAGATTTATCCACAATGGTCATTGTTGTTAGCTGAATGTATTTATAATATACTTTGCTAATGTTTCCAATACAAAAGGCTTGAAATTTACTGCACATCCCACAAGAGACAAACCGAACCATATCAACCCATGATGAGTAAGCAGGTCTGGAAATACATACCCACTGTACACAGTGCTAGGTACATCAAAGGAAATGTTTATCTGAGCCAGAAAAGAAGAAGAGACACTGTATGAAACAGTCTTTAGTGGTGCTTGGTATTTCCATTCACTGAGGACATCATCAAGCACACAGGGACCACCTTCCTTTCCCTTGAAAGGGAAGTAGCCTTTGTTGAACTGAATAAGCTTTTTCTCATGTCCACTGAAAGCTGTGCTAGTATGCTACTATGGGACCTATCACAAAACAAATTCACAGCTTTTTCAATGTCTTTCTGTCTGTTTGTGTGTTCTCCAGGCAGTTGGAGCTGCACTCTCCGGATGCCAAGCATACGGTGGTGTTACGGTGTAAAGACACAGCCTCGGCCCAGGCCTGGTTCGAGGTCATGCAGTCGGCGACCTCTAACCTCATCAACAAGGTCATCACAGAGGTCAAAGAGCACACAGGAAGAACAGGGATCGCAGGGAGCAGAGAGATCAGACACCTGGGCTGGCTGGCTGAGAAGGTAGGAGCTACTTTAATCAGATGTATAATATGCATTCACAGCCCACCTTTTGATAATAACTCATATGTGATTTTTGTGTGGCAGTTATACGATGGTGAGCCAAGCACTCTTGGAACCTCATATAGCTGATGCAATAGTTTCCAACAGGTTTTCCCCCTTCTGGTCCTCCTGTAAATCCTCTTTCATCACTCTCTCATTAGTCAGGGACTGCCTGGCAGAGAGAGAGCGAGACGGCTAATACTGAGAAGACTATAGCCCTGTACTTTGGGCAGTCAGTCAGCTAGTCAGTCAGTCAGTCAGTCAGTCAGTCTGCCAAGCCAAGCCAGAGGATGCTTTCCAGGCTTCTTAATGAGTTCCTCTTTTATTACTGCCTGCCTGCCTTATTGTGAGTCCCAAATGGTACCCTATTGCACTATACAGGGAATATGGTGTCATTTGAGACACAGTTTCTGGAGTCTGTGAATAATTATAAGGGCCCAAAGCCTTCCAGCATGTGTGGAGTGGAGTGGTCTGCCTTGGCTTTGCCTGCCGTCCAAGTTCCTTTGCACAACGTCAACGAGCAAGGCTTTCCTTTCAACAAGGGCTCATTTGTGGCTATTCTGCCATCGCTGACGCACTCAGGAGTCTGAGTCTCTACTTAGCTGTGTGATGGTCAACAGACTACAGTGCAGACCCTCTGGAGTTCAGCATCAAATCAAATCAAATTTCATTGGTCACATGCGCCGATACAACAGGTGCAGACATTACAGTGAAATGCTTACTTACAGCCCTTAACCAACAGTGCATTTATTTTTAACAAAAAAAGTAAAAATAAAACAACAACAAAAAAAGTGTTGAGAAAAAAAGAGCAGAAGTAAAATAAAATAACAGCTAATGTGATCAGATATCGGAGAGGAGAGGAGGGGAGAGGAAGAGGAGGAGAGGAGAGGGAGAGGAGGAGGAGAGGAAAGGAGAGGAGATGGAGGGAGTAGATCCTTGTTTTACAGCCTTGTTGAGGTTGCTCTGTGCAACATTCCTGAGCCTGGCTTTAACCACAGACTTTATATTCATTCTCATACTATAGCCAATTATACCGTGGCAGGGTTTTAAATTGAATGATTGTTACACACTAACTATGTGGTTGTGTAGTCTTTAGTTAGATCTAAGTTTGTAAGCCTGTGTATATCGTGTTTTAATATGGTTACTTTGCAACATGTGTTTGTAATGTTCTACGATTGACCTATGGCCACCAGAATCCTGTGTTCTCATAACTAGCTGAGGACTTCATAGTGAGACAAGAGGCTTATGGTTATGAGGATTGTGCTGTTGTAAAGCTTTCATAATGAGGATTGTGCTGTAGCAAAACTTTCTTAATGAGGATTGTGCTGTAACTTTCATAATGAGGATTGGGCAGTAACTAAGCTTCCATAATGAGGATTGGGCAGTAACTAAGCTTTCATAATGTGGATTGTGCTGTAACTAAGCTTTCATCATGAGGATTGGGCTGCACCTTTCATAATGAGGATTGTGCTGTAACTTTCATCATGAGGATTGTGCTGCACCTTTCATAATGAGGATTGTGCTGTAACTTTCATCATGAGGATTGTGCTGCAACTTTCATAATGAGGATTGTGCTGTAACTTTCATAATGAGGATTGTGCTGCAACTTTCATAATGAGGATTGTGCTGTTACTTTCATAATGAGGATTGTGCTGTAACTTTCATAATGAGGATTGTGCTGTAACTTTCATCATGAGGATTGTGCTGTAACTTTCATAATGAGGATTGTGCTGTAGCTAAGCTTTCATAATGAGGATTGGGCAGTAATTAAGCTTTCATAATGAGGATTGGGCAGTAACTAAGCTTTCATAATGTGGATTGTGCTGTAACTAAGCTTGCATCATGAGGATTGGGCTGTACCTTTCATAATGAAGATTGTGCTGCAACTTTCATAATGAAGACTGTGCTGTAACTTTCATAATGAGGATTGTGCTGTAACTAAGCTTTCATCATGAGGATTGTGCTGTAACTAAGCTTTCATCATGAGGATTGGGCTGTACCTTTCATAATGAAGATTGTGCTGCAACTTTCATCATGAGGATTGTTCTGTAACTTTCATAATGAAGATTGTGCTGTAACTTTCATCATGAGGATTGTGCTGCAACTTTCATAATGAGGATTGTGCTGTAACTATCATAATGAGGATTGTGCTGCAACTTTCATAATGAGGATTGTGCTGTAACTTTCATCATGAGGATTGTGCTGTAACTTTCATAATAAGGATTGTGCTGTAACTAAGCTTTCATCGTGAGGATTGGGCTGTAACTTTCATAATGAGGATTGTGCTGTAACTTTCATAATGAGGATTGTGCTGTAACTAATCATTCATAATGAGGATTGTGCTGTAACTAAGCTTTCATCATGAGGATTGGGCTGTACCTTTCATAATGAGGATTGTGCTGTAACTTTCATAATGAGGATTGTGCTGTAAATTTCATAATGAGGATTGTGCTGTAACTTTCATAATGAGGATTGTGCTGTAACTTTCATAATGAGGATTGTGCTGTAACTTTCATAATGAGGATTGTGCTGTTACTTTCATAATGAGAATTGTGCTGTAACTTTCATAATGAGGATTGTGTTGTAACTTTCATCATGAGGATTGTGCTGTAACTTTCATCATGAGGATTGTGCTTTAACTTTCATAATGAGGATTTAGCTGTAACTAAGCTTTCATAATAAGGATTGTGCTGTAACTAAGCTTTCATCATGAGGATTGGGCTGTACCTTTCATAATGAGGATTGTGCTGTAACTTTCATAATGAGGAGTGTGCTGTAACTTTCATCATGAGGATTGTGCTGTAACTTTCATCATGAGGATTGTGCTGTAACTTTCATCATGAGGATTGTGCTGCAACTTTCATAATAAGGATTTTGCTGTAACTAAGCTTTCATAATAAGAATTGTGCTGTAACTAAGCTTTCATCATGAGGATTGGACTGTACCTTTCATAATGAGGATTGTGCTGTAACTTTCATAATGAGGATTGTGCTGTAACTAATCATTCATAATGAGGATTGTGCTGTAACTAAGCTTTCACAATGAGGATTGTGCTGTAACTAAGCTTTCATAATGAGGATTGTGCTGTAACTTTCATAATGAGGATTGTGCTGTAACTTTCATAATGAGGATTGTGCTATTACTTTCATAATGAGGATTGTGCTGTAACTTTCATAATGAGGATTGTTATGCTTTATTATGTTATGCAAGCCGGTGTTGTATTGGGTGGCTGGGAGTTGAGAGTTTATCTACAGGCCAAGATTAATAAACTGTATAAAGTGCCTTCCTGTGAAAATTAACCAAGATATTGTTACTAAGACTTAGTTACATAGAAAAAAATGATGAGGACATTCAAGGTTGTGTCTTTGCTGTTTGTAGAAGTACATGCTTATCACTCTTTTGCTAAGTTGTATTTTCTAGTCCATAACATTCCCTCCATTGCACCAGTAACCCACATGCAAATGACAAGAGTAGCCTGTCACGCTGTGTGGTGTGTTTTCTCCCAGACAGAGAATATTCTAGCATGGTGTGGTGTGTTTTCTCCCAGACAGAGAATATTCTAGCATGGTGTGGTGTGTTTTTTCCCAGACAGAGAATATTCTAACGTGGTGTGTTTTCTCCCAGACAGAAAATATTCTAACATGGTGTGGTGTGGGTTTTTTTCCACCCCGAGAATTTCTACATGATGTGTGGGTTTTTTTTCTCCCCGACAGGGGAATATTTTAACATGGTGTGGTGTGTTTTCTCCCAGACAAAGAATATTCTAACATGGTGTGTGTGGTGTGTTTTCTCCCAGACAGAGAATATTCTAACATGGTGTGTGTGGTGTGTTTTCTCCCAGACAGAGAATATTCTAACATGGTGTGGTGTGTTTTCTCCCAGACAAAGAATATTCAACAGGGTGTGTGTGGTGTGTTTTCCCCGACAGAGGGAATATTCTAACAGGTGTTGTGGTGGTTTTCTCCAGACAGAGAATATCTAAATGGTGTGGTGGTGTTTTCTTCCCCGCAGAATATTCTAACGTGTGTGTGTTTTCTCCCCCCAGAAACTATTCTAACACGGTGTGTGTTTTTTCCAGACAGAGAATAAACATGGTGGTGTGGTGTGTGAGACGAGAAAAAACATGGTTTTGGGGTCTTTCCACGGATAACATCCTGCCCCCGACAAATACCCAACGTTAGCCCAGGTAGGGACACAACATTTTTCTTTGGCACAGGTAGCTAAACATGTTTCTCCTACAGTCACGGGTAGCTCAAACAAACCCTCTTTCTCCATGGCACATGGTAAGCCACACACCCTTCTCTCACAGTCCAGGTAAGGCGCACCCGCCTGACATACAGGGGGGTAGCTCACACCCTTCTCTTTTGCACATGGTAAGCTACACCACCCTCTTCTTATTAGTCACATGGTAAGCTAACACACACCCTCTCCTCTATTAGTCACTGGTAAGCTACACACACCCTCTCTTATAGTCACATGGTAAGCTACACACACCCTCTCTCTAAGTCACATGGTAAGCTACACACACCCTCTCTCTATTAGTCACATGGTAAGCTACACACCCCTCTCTCTACTAGTCACATGGTAGACACCCACAAACCCCCTCTCTACTAGTCACATGGTAAGCTACACACACCATCTCTCTATAGTCACATGGTAAGCTACACATACCCTCTCTCTACTAGTCACATGGTAAGCTACACACACCCTCTCTCTATTAGTCACATGGTAAGCTACACACACCCTCTCTCTACTAGTCACATGGTAAGCTACACACACCCTCTCTCTACTAGTCACATGGTAAGCTACACATACCCTCTCTCTACTAGTCACATGGTAAGCTACACACACCCTCTCTCTACTAGTCTCAAGAAAAATAGCTGCTGCTATCCACACAGTAAGCAAAAGACAGTCTTCCTGCTAGTCAAATAGCAAAACACATTATCTTAGCCACATGGTTAGTAGCATCCACCCTGAACAACCCAACCATGGCCACATGGTAGTCCTCCACTACTACAAACACACCTACCCTCTATTGGCCAAGCAATAATCACAACACCCCTACCCTCTATTGGCCAAGCAATAATCAAAACACACCTACCCTCTATTGGCCAAGCAATAATCAAAACACACCTACCTCTATTGGCCAAGCAATAATCAAAACACACCTACCCTCTATTGGCCAAGCAATAATCAAAACACACCTACCCTCTATTGGCCAAGCAATAATCAAAACACACCTACCCTCTATTGGCCAAGCAATAATCAAAACACACCTACCCTCTATTGGCCAAGCAATAATCAAAACACACCTACCCTCTATTGGCCAACCAATAATCAAAACATACCTACCCTTTGCTAGCCTAATGGTGCAGCACACCTGAAAGATGAGGTGGCACTGGAGGACACATCCACAACATGTTTCCATTACTGAACACAGCCAATAACTCTGTCTTTCACTGAAAGTTGCATTGCAGTTACTATTTGTCATGTTATCAATTATTACACCTTTATGTCCTTGATGTGAAGAGGGTTATATGGTTACAGCACTGACTAGCTAGTCTCTCTCAACAGCAGGCACTTAGAATATAACAGAATCTGTGTCTGTTTGTAGGCTGGTGCACTCTGGTCCCGACCGAGGCTCTCCCCAGCCGGGCGTGGAGCTGTCCTTCGCCACACGTACAGGCACCAGACTGGGCATTGAGGCCCACCTGTTCAGAGCTGAGACCTGTAAGGACCTTTCACTGTGGACCAGGCACATCGTTACGGGCTGTCACTCCTCTGCCCAGATGATCAAAGAAGTCACCACCAGTGAGTACCACTACACCGACCCTGCTAGAAGACTGTGTGAGCCCGCTGAGCTAAAGCCTTGATCAACCAAGTCACCACCAGTGAGCCTAGGTAGGCATTAGCTTGGGGAGTAACTCAAATCTTCAATTCTCTGGCAAGGTTACTTATCATGTTAGTGTGGTTGACAAAGCCATCTATGTTACAGTACAATTTTCATAGCTGTAGTATTTGGTAAGGGGGTGTTAGTGTTGGACAGTCACATAGAAGACACTGAGAAAGGAGTGAGTATTTTTAGAAAGGAACGGAATGCCACTGTGAGATCCTGTGTGTGTGGCCTAGTGTAGTGGTGGGCACTAGCTGGTATGCCGGGCATCCTGGGAACTCCTCTAGTCAGTCACCCCTAGAGCCGTCTCTCTCTCTCGCTCGCTCGCTCGCTCGCTCTCTCAATTAAATTCAAAGGGCTTTATTGGCATGGGAAACATATGTTAACATTGCCAAAACAAGTGTAATAGATAATAAACAAAAGTGAAATAAACAATAAAAAATTAACAGTAAACATTACACTCACAAAAGTTCCAAAGGAATAGAGACATTTCAAATGTCATATTATTTATATATACAGTGTTGTAACGAGGTGCAAATAGTTAAAGTACAAAAGGGAAAATAAATAAACACAAATATGGGTCTCTCTCTCTCTCTCTCTCTGAATGGATCATATATCACTTCACTTGTTGTGATATTGCATCAGCTGTCAGATATAAGCTTTATGATCTTTGCTAGGCCTAATAACTAATAAACTAATACAATATGTCTGGACAGGTTATAGAATAGGAAACTAATACAATATGTCTGGACAGGGTATAGAATAGGAAACTAATACAATATGTTTCTGGACAGGTTCTAGATAGGAAACTAACAATATTTCTGGACGGGTATAGAATAGGAACAAACAATTGTCTGGACAGGATAGAGACTAGAAACTACTACATATTCTGGCAGGAATATAGAATAGGAAACTAATACAATATGTCGGACAGGTTAGAATAGGAACTGATACACTATGTCTGGAAGGGTATAGAATAGAAACTAACATTAATGTCCTGGACAGGGTATAAATAGAAACTAATACATAACGTCTGCCAGGGTATAGAATAGAAACTAATGACCATATGTCCTGGACAGTGTATAATAGGAAACTAATACAATAATGTCCTGGAACAGTGTATAGAATAGGAAACTAATACAATATCTGACAGGATAAGAATGGAACCTAATACATATGTCTGTACAATTATAAATAGGTAAACTAATACAATATGGTCGGACAGGTTTTTTTAGAATAAGGAAACTGATACACTATGTCTGGACAGGGTATAGAATAGGAAACTAATACACTATGTCTGGACAGGGTATAGAATAGGAAACTAATACAATATGTCTGGACAGGGTATAGAATAGGAAACTAATACCATATGTCTGGACTGTCATGAGCACTCTCTCTCCCTGGTAGCAACATTAATTGCATTCAATTCTCTGCCACTCTGCTCACTCTCTCCCTACTCTGCCTAACGAGCTCCACCTGGCTCCGCCCTGCTCTGCTCTTGTTACCTGGCCAGCTGCACTGCATTTCCCACTCACCATCCTCACCTTGCCTCACTCTGTTCTAATTACTCTGCCAGCTGAACTGCATTTCCCCACTAACCTCTCCCAGTATATCAAGCCCTGTTTTTCAGCCAAGCCCTGTCAGATCGTCTTCAAACCCGGACCAGTAACCTGCCTGTCTGCGCTCTGACTCCTGTTTGTGATACCGATCCTTTCTTGACTGCCTCCTTGTTCTACTGCCCCGTCTATCCCGACCTGCCTTCTGGACCTCGACTACTCTCCGATCTTCAGCCCCTCCGGTCTCCGACCACCAGATGAGCGTGCCCAGACGCTTCACCACCCTCAGCCCGATACGCCGCTCCATCACTGGGGAACACACACACTAAGCACTTGGACTGGACACCCCCGGACATTTGGTGACCCCCGGAGCACAGGTACCCACAGGACCCTGAAAGACCCCAGAGCCCCAAGCACCCCTGGAACCCCTGACACCCCTGGCACTCCTCTTCCCGCCTGAAACCTTCAATAAAGAACTCTGAATTTGAACTTGCGCTCTTGGGTCCTCTTCTGTCCGTGACAGAACGATCTGACCATCATGGACCCAGCGCACTCCCTGACCACGATGGAAGAAGAGCCAGAGATGACTGCCCTACAGCGACTGGAACGCTCTGAGGGAGACATAAATCGGATGGCTGGCGACATCGCTTCCCTTCTCCAGCTATTCAACCAGCAGCAACAACAGTTCCAACTGCAGCAACAAACAGCTAGCCCAAGCCCTGCAACTACTCTCAAACCCGGCTACTCCACCTGCACCCCCCCCTGGTCCTTCTGTTCCTGTACCACCGACACTCCTTCATCCCTCCGCTGGAGGTCCCAATGCTGCAGGCCCGGCAGTGCTGCCACCAGATCCCCACGCTCCTGAACCAAAGATTGGGAACCCGGAACGTTTTGATGGCAACCAGAAGCAAGTAAGACCATTCTTGAGCAGCTGCCGAATCCAGTTTGCACTACAGCCCAGGACTTTCTCAACAGAGGGAGCCAAGGTGGGGTATGTCATCACACATCTCACCGGTCGAGCTCGGTTGTGGGGAACGGCGGAATTCGACCGGCAAACCCCAGCCTGTGCCTCCTTCAGTGCCTTTGAGGAGGAGATGTTAAAGGTCTTTGACCTAGGCTCGCCAACAGCCGAAGCGTCACAAGCTCTGCTCACCATCCGTCAGGGCAATCGGACAGTGGCAGACTTCTCCATTGACTTTCGTACCCTGGCCAGTCAAAGCTCGTTTAACCCAGAGGCACTGGTGCAAGCCTTCCTCCATAGCCTGGCGGACTATATCAAAGACGAGCTTGTTTCCCATGACCCGCCCTCAACGCTTGATGCCGCCATTGACCTTGCCGTCCGCATTGACCGCCGTATACAGACCCGGAGGAGGGAGAAGGGCCGTCTCAGTCAACCTGCCATCCGCACTCGGGTCGATACCGCTTCTGTCCAGCCCCTGCCTGTCAAGTCCCATAGCCAACTCAATCAGCCTGAGCCCATGGAGATTGGCCGTGCCTCTCTGACTCCCGAGGAGCGTCGGCGCCGTCTAAGCTCCAACCTTTGCCTCTACTGTGGTGGCGAAAATCACCGTGTCGCCACTTGTCCGGCAAAAGCCGCAGCTCACCAGGTGTAGGGGAGATCCGGGTGAGCTCAACAAGCCTTCAGTCTCCCTCCATCCGAAAGACCCTGCTTCATCTCCGCCTTCAGCTTTCTGACAAGACTCATACATTGGCCGCCCTTGTGGATTCCGGAGCCGAAGCAAACATCATGGACCCTGAGCTTGCACAGCAACTGGGCGTGAACCATCATCAACTGACACAACCCATTCCTGCACGAGCCCTGGATGGGCATCATCTTGGCACTGTCACTCATATCTCCGCCCCTGTGACAATCCTGCTGTCAGGAAACCACCAGGAGTCCATCCAGTTTCACCTCCTACACTCACCTGGCCAACCACTCATTCTTGGATACCCGTGGCTCCGTCAGCACAACCCCCACATCGACTGGGAGACAGGAACAGTCCGTGAGTGGGGAAGGAGTTGTCACCAGACCTGTTTAAGGGGGGCCACCCTGCCCGTTCACCGGGAAAGATCTAGCGCTACCCCCGACATATCCAATGTTCCGGCCTGTTACCACAGCCTGAAAGAGGTGTTCAACAAATCCAAGGCGACATCTCTACCCCCACACAGACCCTATGACTGCGCGATTGATCTCCTGCCTGGCACAGCACCTCCCAAGGGTCGTCTGTATTCACTGTCAGCCCCGGAAAGAAAGGCCATGGAGGACTACATTAATGACTCTCTTGCCGCCGGGATAATTAGACCGTCATCTTCCCCCGCAGGAGCGGGATTCTTCTTTGTCGGCAAGAAGGACGGTTCTCTTCGTCCATGCATAGATTACCGGGGTCTGAACGACATCACGGTTAAGAATCGCTACCCACTGCCCTTACTTTCGTCTGCCTTCGAACTGCTGCAGGGAGCCACTGTATTCACAAAGCTGGACCTTCGCAATGCCTACCATCTGGTGCGGATGAGGGAGGGAGACGAATGGAAGACAGCGTTCAACACACCAACCGGCCACTATGAATATCTCGTCATGCCCTTCGGCCTCACCAATGCCCCAGCAGTTTTTCAAGCCCTAGTGAATGATATCCTCAGGGACATGCTAAATACGTTCGTATTTGTGTACCTTGACGATATTTTAATATTCTCAAAGACTCTGTCAGAACACACGCACCACGTCCAGTTGGTCCTGCGCCGCCTGCTGGAGAACTCTCTTTTCGTGAAGGCAGAGAAGTGCGAGTTCCATGCCAAAACCGTTTCATTCCTGGGGTATGTGGTGACCGAGGGCAGCATTCAGATGGATCTCACGAAGGTGTCGGCTGTCACTTCCTGGCCAGTTCCTGAGTCTCGGAAAAAGTTGCAACAGTTCCTGGGCTTTGCCAACTTTTATAGGAGATTCATCAGAAACTATAGCACAGTGGCTGCACCCCTCACGGCGCTAACCAGCACTAAACAACCGTACCAATGGACATCAGCTGCTGATAAGGCCTTCAATATCCTCAAGACATGTTTCACTTCTGCTCCCATCCTCCAGATGCCAGATGCAGCAAGGCAGTTTGTGGTGGAGGTAGATGCTTCGGACGTGGGAGTGGGTGCAGTGCTTTCTCAAAGAGCAGCTGAGGATGGCAAGATGCACCCCTGTGCCTTCTACTCCCGTCGGCTAACCCCTGCCGAATGCAACTACGACATTGGGAACCGCGAGCTGTTGGCTGTCAAGCTCGCCCTTGAAGAATGGCGGCACTGGTTAGAGGGGTCAAAGGAACCATTCGTAGTGTGGACAGACCACAAGAACCTGGAGTATATCCAAACAGCCAGGAGGCTGAACTCCCGTCAACAGCGGTGGTCTCTGTTCTTTACGCGCTTCAATTTCACGCTCTCCTACCGCCCGGGATCTCGCAACATCAAACCTGATGCTCTTTCCCGGATGTTTCAGAAGGACGAGACCACCGCCATGACAGCCCCCATTCTTCCCAGCCACTTGGTCGTAGCGGCCCTCACCTGGGAGATCGAGAAGCAGGTCATGGAGGCTCTTCGGGACCAGCCAGGTCCAAGCACCAGCGCCCCCAACCGTCTGTTTGTTCCAGCAAATCTCAGGTCACCTGTGATTCAGTGGGGGCACGAATCCCGTCTGGCCTGTCATCCCGGCATCACTCGCACCCTTCATCTGGTCCGCCAGCGGTTCTGGTGGCGGCGGATGAGACGGGAGGTCCGAGAATTCATCCGAGCTTGTCCCACTTGTAACCGAAACAAGACCCCCAACCAGCCTCCTGCTGGGCTGCTGCAACCCCTACTCATACCCAAGAGGCCCTGGTCCCACGTTTCACTGGACTTTGTTACGGGCCTTCCGCCCTCTGACGGACACACAGTCATCCTTACCATTGTTGACCGCTTTAGTAAGATGACCCACTTCGTGCCCCTTCCCAAACTACCCTCTGCTAAAGAGACCTCCCAGGTGGTCCTGGAACATGTGTTTCGTATCCATGGCCTACCCCAGGATATAGTGTCAGACCGGGGCCCGCAATTCTCAGCAACCTTTTGGAAGGAGTTCTGTCATCTCCTTGGGGCCACCGCCAGCCTATCGTCTGGATTCCACCCGCAGTCAAACGGCCAGACTGAACGCATGAACCAGGAGCTGGAGAAGGCACTGAGGTGTGTGGCTTCCCAAAATCCCCGGGCCTGGGCTCAACACCTGCTCTGGGTGGAATATGCCCATAATTCACTCACCAGTTCCTCCACCGGGCTCTCCCCCTTTCAGTGTGTCTACGGGTATCAACCTCCACTGTTTGCCAGCCAGGAGGCGGATGCCACCTGTCCGTCTGCTCTTGCGTATGCCCGCCGCTGCCGCCGCACTTGGGCCCAGGCTCGCACTGTGCTCCTGAAGTCTGGAACCAGCTACGCCGTCGGTGCCAACCGACGGAGGACCCCAGCACCTACTTACCGGGTTGGTCAGAAGGTCTGGCTGTCTGCCCGGGATCTGCCGCTGCGGGTTGAATCACGAAAGCTGGCCCCTCGCTTCATTGGTCCTTTTCCTGTGCAGAAAGTCATCAGTCCAACGGCGGTCCGACTTCAGTTGCCCGCTTCCATGCGGGTCCACCCCACCTTCCACGTCTCCAAGGTCAAGCCGGTCCATGAAAGTCCCCTGGTCCCTGCAGCTCCGGCGCCACCTCCTCCGCGCCTCGTAGATGGCGGTCCTGTCTTCACCGTCCGGCGGCTGCTCCGCTCTAGGCGAAGGGGTAGGGGTCTCCAGTACCTCGTTGACTGGGAGGGATATGGTCCAGAGGAGAGGACCTGGATCCCGGCCAGGAGGATAGTGGACCGGACCCTTATCACTGACTTCCACCGACTACATCCTGATCAGCCTGCAATCCGTAGGGGCCGTCCAAGAGGGGTTCCTAGCCGTCCTGCCCGCCCTGCTTCCTGTCCTGTGCCTGACCCTGCTCCTGTCTCAGTGCCTGTCCTGTCTCCCGACCGTGACCCTCCAGCTCCTTCTGAGGATGAGGAGATTCACTCGGACCGCTCGGAGGAGTTCTGACCCGCCGCCTGCTCCCCTCCACCCTCCCGGCATGATGTTGTTCTTGGGACTTCTGGGGCCGTCCCTTGGAGGGGGGGGTCCTGTCATGAGCACTCTCTCTCCCTGGTAGCAACATTAATTGCATTCAATTCTCTGCCACTCTGCTCACTCTCTCCCTACTCTGCCTAACGAGCTCCACCTGGCTCCGCCCTGCTCTGCTCTTGTTACCTGGCCAGCTGCACTGCATTTCCCACTCACCATCCTCACCTTGCCTCACTCTGTTCTAATTACTCTGCCAGCTGAACTGCATTTCCCCACTAACCTCTCCCAGTATATCAAGCCCTGTTTTTCAGCCAAGCCCTGTCAGATCGTCTTCAAACCCGGACCAGTAACCTGCCTGTCTGCGCTCTGACTCCTGTTTGTGATACCGATCCTTTCTTGACTGCCTCCTTGTTCTACTGCCCCGTCTATCCCGACCTGCCTTCTGGACCTCGACTACTCTCCGATCTTCAGCCCCTCCGGTCTCCGACCACCAGATGAGCGTGCCCAGACGCTTCACCACCCTCAGCCCGATACGCCGCTCCATCACTGGGGAACACACACACTAAGCACTTGGACTGGACACCCCCGGACATTTGGTGACCCCCGGAGCACAGGTACCCACAGGACCCTGAAAGACCCCAGAGCCCCAAGCACCCCTGGAACCCCTGACACCCCTGGCACTCCTCTTCCCGCCTGAAACCTTCAATAAAGAACTCTGAATTTGAACTTGCGCTCTTGGGTCCTCTTCTGTCCGTGACATGGACAGTGTATAGAATAGGAAACTAATACAATATGTCTGGACAGTGTATAGAATAGGAAACTAATACAATATGTCTGGACAGGTTATAGATTTGGAAACTAATACAATATGTCTGGACAGGGTATAGAATAGGAAACTAATACAATATGTCTGGACAGGGTATAGAATAAGAAACTAATACAATATGTCTGGACAGGGTATAGAATAGGAAACTAATACAATATGTCTGGACAGGGTATAGAATAGGAAACTAATACAATATGTCTGGACAGGGTATAGAATAGGAAACTAATACAATATGTCTGGACAGGGTATAGAATAAGAAACTAATACAATATGTCTGGACAGGGTATAGAATAGGAAACTAATACAATATGTCTGGACAGGGTATAGAATAGGAAACTAATACAATATGTCTGGACAGTGTATAGAATAGGAAACTAATACAATATGTCTGGACAGTGTATAGAATAGGAAACTAATACAATATGTCTGGACAGGGTATAGAATAGGAAACTAATACAATATGTCTGGACAGGGTATAGAATAGGAAACTAATACAATATGTCTGGACAGGGTATAGAATAGGAAACTAATACAATATGTCTGGACAGTGTATAGAATAGGAAACTTATACACTATGTCTGGACAGGGTATAGAATAGGAAACTAATACAATATGTCTGGACAGGGTATAGAATAGGAAACTAATACAATATGTCTGGACAGTGTATAGAATAGGAAACTTATACACTATGTCTGGACAGGGTATAGAATAGGAAACTAATATAATATGTCTGGACAGGGTATAGAATAGGAAACTAATACAATATGTCTGGACAGGGTATAGAATAGGAAACTAATACAATATGTCTGGACAGTGTATAGAATAGGAAACTTATACACTATGTCTGGACAGGGTATAGACTAGGAAACTAATACACTACCTCTGGACAGGGTATATAATAGGAAACTAATACAATATGTCTGGACAGGGTATAGAATAAGAAACTAATACAATATGTCTGGACAGGGTATAGAATAGGAAACTAATACAATATGTCTGGACAGGGTATAGAATAGGAAACTAATACAATATGTCTGGACAGTGTATAGAATAGGAAACTAATACAATATGTCTGGACAGTGTATAGAATAGGAAACTAATACAATATGTCTGGACAGGGTATAGAATAGGAATCTAATACACTACCTCTGGACAGTGTCTGTGAATCTGTGAAAGTGGCACGCTATGGTCCTCTATACACCTCTACGGTCCTCTGGATGTGTGGTTGACTGTTTCTTTTCTCTTTGTAGACTGTGACATTTGGCTAAATCTTTTTCATCTTTTATTTACAGTAAAAAGGTTGTTAATATTAGAATTACAATATTTGTCCTAAGAGCAGCTTAACTCTACGTCCGGGTCTGGGCCTAGCGCCATATTTTGGGTTTTTAAAGGAAAAAGGCCTCTTTTGGCTGAGGAGCTAGGTTTCCATTACCTTTGATGATTATTACGGAGGTTGCGTCCCAAATGGAACCCTATTCCCTAACGCAGTGCACTATATAGGGTGCCATTTAGGTCGCATCTTGAGGGATTTGGCTTTAGCGTCAGAGGGCAACTTGACCGTTATTCAACTGGATCAAAATAAAGCGATGGTCAGAATAAGATAGATTTGGCCAGGGGCAGTTTATTATTTATAATGTATTATTGATTTATTATGTATGATTTATTATCTAGCCTCTATTATTTATTGTAAAGGTGATGTATTTATCCACTGGGATGTTCCTGTTGTGATCAGTGGTCTGTAATACAGAGGTATTGTTGATAGACTGTTGACTATAGGGGTTTATAACGTCATCACAGTTGTGTTTGCTTAATATACTGTTGACTATAGGGGTTTATAACGTCATCACAGTTGTGTTTGCTTAATATTGTAACTTAAGCACCTAAAGCACACAAGCGGGAGCAGGGGTCTCTATCAAGGCTTGCCCCCTATACTGAATATCATACTGTATGTCATGAGTGGGAAAGAAAGCTAACATAGACATGGGCTTGGGGATAAACTACTCCTAGACCCTACAGGGTTAGAGCTTGGGGATAAACTACTCCTAGACCCTACAGGGTTAGAGCTTGGGGATGAACTACTCCTAGACCCTACAGGGTTAGAGCTTGGGGATGAACTACTCCTAGACCCTACAGGATTAGAGCTTGGGATAAACTACTCCCAGACCCTACAGGGTTAGAGCTTGGGGATAAACTACTCCTAGACCCTACAGGGTTAGAGCTTGGGGATGAACTACTCCTAGACCCTACAGGATTAGAGCTTGGGATAAACTACTCCCAGACCCTACAGGGTTAGAGCTTGGGGATAAACTACTCATAGACCCTACAGGGTTAGAGCTTGGGAATAAACTACTCCTAGACCCTACAGGGTTAGAGTTTGGGGATAAACTACTCATAGACCCTACAGGGTTAGAGCTTAGGGATAAACTACTCCTAGACCCTACAGGGTTAGAGCTTGGGGATAAACTACTCCTAGACCCTACAGGGTTAGAGCTTGGGGATAAACTACTCCTAGACCCTACAGGGTTAGAGCTTGGGATAAACTACTCCCAGACCCTACAGGGTTAGAGCTTGGGGATAAACTACTCCTAGACCCTACAGGGTTAGAGCTTGGGAATAAACTACTCCTAGACCCTACAGGGTTAGAGTTTGGGGATAAACTACTCATAGACCCTACAGGGTTAGAGCTTAGGGATAAACTACTCCTAGACCCTACAGGGTTAGAGCTTGGGGATAAACTACTCCTAGACCCTACAGGGTTAGAGCTTGGGGATAAACTACTCCTAGACCCTACAGGGTTAGAGCTTGGGGATAAACTACTCCTAGACCCTACAGGGTTAGAGCTTGGGGATAAACTACTCCTAGACCTTACAGGGTTAGAGTTTGGGAATAAACTACTCCTAGACCCTACAGGGTTAGAGCTTGAGAATAAACTAATCCTAGACCCTACATGGTTAGAGCTTGGGGATAAACTACTCCTAGACCCTACAGGGTTAGAGCTTAGGGATAAACTACTCCTAGACCCTACAGGGTTAGAGCTTGGGAATAAACTACTCCTAGACCCTACAGGGTTAGAGCTTGGGGATAAACTACTCCTAGACCCTACAGGGTTAGAGCTTGGGGATAAACTACTCCTAGACCCTACATAGTTAGAGCTTGGGGATAAACTACTCCTAGACCCTAGAGGGTTAGAAAGCACTCAAAAGTTCCTCCATCCGTAAATGACCTTTTAAGGATTCTGGTAGTTATAGTAACCAAACTGGATCCGCCTTGCTTTGCTTGGGGAGGTTTCTGTGTTTTGCCACTCACCATCAGGGCTGAATGGAGGGTCTTTGTGTCTGACTGAAAGCATCTGTGTGTGCGTGTGTGTGTATCTGTGCGTATCTTTGTGTGTGTGTCTTTTGGTGGGAAAGTGGTAGGGGTCACACAGGTCAAGCATTTCAGGTAGGGAGTAGTATTTCCTTATTGTGGAACAAAAACACAACACCTGAGAGAGTTGGGTACATGTTAGTTTGACCTCTGACCTTTCCATACAACTTCTTCCCACAGGTAATTCTAGGTCAGTATTAAGAGAATGTTGTTGTGACAGCAGTATGAGGACGATATGATACGGACAATGCCTTTATCGTAACAATACCTTTTGGACTACCCCCTAAATACCTTTTGGACTACCCCCTAAAGAAGATAAGTCTGTTGTGAAACTGTCTTTCCAAGCAACAGTGTGTGCTTATCAGTAAAGTGTTCTATCTTGGCTTGAGTCTTTACAAAAGGCTGTTACCTCTTGACAGAGAGCCACACAAGCCTTAGAGTGATTTGCAGAGCTTTACTGGAACAAATGTAAAGTAGTTGCAGAAGTAGCTCGTTGACACTGACACAACAGAGATGGTACGTCCTGCTCTCAGTACAGGAGATCATGTCTGATGAGCATGGAGCAATTCCGAGGGCTGGGACTGACAGCATGGGAATCAACATATCTGACACACAGATCAGTGTATTGTATATGGGACAGACTAGGAATCAGACTTTTTGTCACACCCTGATCTGTTTCACCTGTCTTGTGCTTGTCTCCATCCCCCCACCAGGTGTCTCCCATTTGTTCCCCATTATCCCTTGTGTATTTATACCAGTGTTTTCTGTTTGTCTGTTGCCAGTTCGTCTTGTCTCGTCAAGCCTACCAGCGGTTTTTCCGTGCTCCTGTTTTTCCAGCCCCTGTTTTCTAGTCCTCCCGGTTCCGACCATTTCTGCCTGCCCTGACCCTGAGCCTGCCAGCCGTCCTGTACCTATCTGACTCTGACCTAGTTTACGAACTTGTGCCTGTCCTCAACCTGCCTCTTGTCTATTATTAAATATCAGAGACTCGAACCATCTACCTCCTGTGTCTGCATCTGGGCCTCATCCTGTGTCGTTATACTTTCAAAGAGTACAACATTATATATTAAAAAACATCTATAGGCAAGGCAGAGTCATAAATTATTGTTTTTTTCTCATGAGCTGGAGATTAATTTAATAGGGATTGATTAGAAAAACAACAAATGTGAAATACAGCCGTTGTCTGTTTTTTGTCTAAGTGCGATGACAAGCCAAATCACTTATCTGGATTTAACAAATGCCCGACATCTGCTCCAGAACAAAAGTGTTCCGCCCACTACCACCAAGCAGCAGTAGATGCTGTAAGTCCTAATATACAGCCAGGACAGGGCCTTGTTTTCACCCAGCTGTTGTCCCGTTACAGGCTGGATGTACAAGGTTCAGGAATGACGTAGCTGTACAGAGCTTATTGTGGTCTAGTAGTAGCACTCCCAGCACAAGTACATACTGTATATTGCAAGTCCGGAGACCGGGGTCCGATTCCTGCGTCCTCCTACTATTCCTACCACTTCTCTATCTCCCCCTTTCATTTCGTACATGTATACAGTTTCAAAAATACAGAAAGGTTAGTGGAACTTTATTCACGAGCAGTATGTTGTCCTGTTACAAGCTGTATGTACAAGGGCCAGGAGTTACCCATGCTGTTTGTCCTGTTACAGGCTGTATGTACAAGGGCCAGGAGTTACCCATGCTGTTTGTCCTGTTACAGGCTGTATGTACAAGGGCCAGGAGTTACCCATGCTGTTTGTCCTGTTACAGGCTGTATGTACAAGGGCCAGGAGTTACCCATGCTGTTTGTCCTGTTACAGGCTGTATGTACAAGGGCCAGGAGTTACCCATGCTGTTTGTCCTGTTACAGGCTGTATGTACAAGGGCCAGGAGTTACCCATGCTGTTTGTCCTGTTACAGGCTGTATGTACAAGGGCCAGGAGTGCAGGCTGGTGATCCACTACGAGCAGGGCTTCTCTGTCCTGGCTGAGCAGCAGGGGGAGGACCAGGTGGACCAGGGAAACCAGAACCAAGCCAAACCTCTGCTCTGCTACCCCTTCGAACGCCTCAAGATGTCCTCTGATGACGGGGTCAGGGTGCTCTTCCTGGATTTCAGTGGAAAAGAGGGTGAAATTGTAAGTTTTTTTTTTTTTTTTTTTACAAGAACCAAGGACATGAAAGGACCATTGTTTCTACTAGGGACAGGACCACTCTTAACAACCGTCTCTGTTTGTTGATGACAGTACATGAGACCGTATTTCCTTAAGAATAAAAAACCCAGTTGACTCATATTTCATTGGCGTTGCTCTACAGCTCTATTCAGGCAACTGAACACAAACAAGGAAAGATGGAAAAGTTTCCACAGAATCCCCTATACGTTAAACAGGAACTGAGTCATACATGGGCATACTGAAACACTGTCCTGCATGTCCCTCTGCTGTTTATGAAAAGGACTCTGTTCAGACATGTTCTGCTCTCAGAACACTACAACTGTAATAGAATAGAACTCACCATTAGAACTCATGGAACTGTAATGTAACATCTAACATTCTCTCTGTTCTATGTTCAGCAGCTGGACCTCCACTCGTGCCCAAAGCCTATCGTCTTCATCCTCCACTCATTCCTCTCAGCAAAGATCGCCAGACTTGGCCTGGTAGCATAGAGGTTCTGTTTACCACTGACGGACCACAAGGACTGAACTGTTCCAGAGTTCTAGATTGGAGTGTTCCAGAATTCCACAGTGGAGTGTCCCATAGTTCCACAGTGGAGTGTACAGCACAGAGAAGGACATGGCTTATAACTGAACTATGACTGAAGAAGAACAAGGACTGATGTTCAGTGAACTAGACACATGATCTACCCTGATTCAAAGTCTACACAAACAGCTCAAAATGAATGGATCATGTTTCAAAAACTTTAACTAGTTGATTTGTATATTTATAGAAACACATGCATTACCGATGACATCATATACACAGTGAGAGTGTAAAAGATCAGTTACAGCAGAATAAATTGTTTTGTTAAAATCGTTGTTAAGCTGTAGAAGAACACTAATCTATTGTTTTGGTACTAAAAAGATACTGGAGGTATTATCAATCTAGCATCCATCCATTCTACGCTAATCCTTTGTTTGGCAATCTCTGTCTGCAAATAATTCAGCGATTACTGTTTACTTAAATTAAAAAGTTACGGTGAAAAAGCTCTGTAAAGGCTGCTTGAAATTTAGAATTGTCCTACGCCTTTGGCAGCTATTATATGATTCAAGGCTTAGTTTTATTTTAACTCCGTTAATGATGCACATAAATTACATATTTAAAGAAATCTCTGGATTCTCTTTGTATTTCAGGTTGTTCTTGTGGTCCAACTGCTATTCACTGCATTTCCTCAACAAGAACAAACCAAAGCAACATCACCACATCCCACAAAACACACACTCTAAAATGTGTTCAAGTCTCTTTCCAAAAACTGTCTTCACTTGTGGAGGAATGGGTTGAATGAATGCAATATGACAACTAAAATGTCAAAACACTGCAACTTGGGATGGCCCATTCCATAGAATAGACTAGAATAGACTAGACTAGACTAGCTCAGCAAAGTTAACCAAATAAGCACAACACACCTCCTGATTGGTGTTTACATGCCACTGAGTAACGAGCAGGCATCCAAGCCACTCACACACAACCTGTTGTTCAGCGTCAGAGCTGTTCAGAGCCACCGTGCACAGCTTGAAGCCATAACTTAGCCCATCTATTCAAATACAAAGGGCATTGATAGACTTTTTGAATGTCAATTTTATATAAATCAGAGAACTGCTGGAGTTTCCAAATTAATCAGCAATTAGTGTGGCCTTTGTTGTGTCCTGAGGGCTCTGTCTCTCAGCGGCCTGGCCGTTTCTAGGAATATGTTGTGTGTGTAAGCAAGTGTGTGTGTGTGTGTGTGTGTGGTTTGGTTCTTCTACCCTTGTGGGGATATAAAATCCCCAATGGTCCCCACAAGGATAGTAAAACAAGGAAAATTGTCCCTCGTGGGGACATTTCCCACGTCCCCATGAGAACAACGGCTATTTTAAGCTTAGGGGTTAGAATTAGGGTTAGGCATTAGGTTTAGGGTTAAGGTTAGGGGTTAGGATTGGATAGAAGGACAAAGGATAGAAGGACAAAACATGTTTTCCTACCTTTCAGGACCACAATGTCCTGACAAATCATCAGAATGTCCTGACAAGATAGGAAAACAAGAACAATTGAGAAAAGTCAGGACTTTTTTCATGTCCTAAATTTGTTAAAATGCTGTTTTAGGCTTAAGGGTTAGGTTTAGGGTTAAAGTTCGGACAAGCTCACTCGCCCTGCTTGTTTTATTGCATAAGTAAAAATCACTGATCTGATTTCACCTCAGTAAATTGCACATGTTTTACTAATAACTCAAACTCTCCCCTATCATTACTGAGGGTCGTTGGTCCTGCCTTTAAATGTGAAGTATGACTTAACAGAAGGGGCAGGTTTTGAATATTACTAATGAGGACGGACCTAGACCTAACTCAGTAATTCTGTACTAATATTTACTTCTTTATTTTGCCTGAAGTCATTGAGAACAGATTCTCTTTTACGATAAGGACCTAACCGAGAGGGAGCTAAATATTGAAGATGGTATATACCATGAAAAATAGAATACTTGGTAGTTATCCCAAAATAATTGTTTAAGTCCAACCCTTACTTTAGTCTAATTGGGTCGCCTGTGGTGGGATTAATCATGAGACCAAACCCAATAGGAGCCTTGGAGCACCTATAGGGGAGCATTGTTAGCCTGGATGCCTGTCTGTTGTTTGGCAGTAGAGCAGGAACAGACTGGCACCCAGGCCAGAGCCAGTGGAGAAAACAAAGCCCCCTCAGAATGTATCAGGTCCCAAGGTTGCGAACCAGAGGAGAGGCTTGACCCCCCGTTCAGTTCCCATCATCCCTTTCATGCTCTGGGCCAGGGGAGAGTGGAGAGTCTCGACCCGCAGTTCAGTTTCCATCACCCCTTTCATGCTCTGGGCCAGGGGAGAGAGAGGGAGAGAGAACAACAGTCCTGTGGGACAGGAATGTACTGCTGGAGACCGCTGCCAAGTCAGTGCCTCCTCTCACAATTCACCTCTCAGAACCACCTCTCGATCCACCCTGTCCTCTCTACTCTTCATTACCCACGCAGCCTGGTATAGAGTAATGAGGACTGGGGGGATGGTATGGAGTAATGAAGACTGGGGGGGGGGGGGGGGGGGGGGTGGTATAGAGTAGTGAGGACTGAGGGGGGGTATAGAGTAGTGAGGACTGAGGGGGGTATAGAGTAGTGAGGACTGGGGGGGGGTGGTATAGAGTAGTGAGGACTGAGGGTGGGGTGGTATAGAGTAGTGAGGGCTGAGGGGGGGTGGTATAGAGTAGTGAGGGCTGAGGGGGGGTGGTATAGAGTAATGAGGACTTAGGGGGGTGGTATAGAGTAATGAGGACTGAGGGGGGGGGTATAGAGTAGTGAGGGCTGGGTGGTGGTATAGAGTAATGAGGACTGAGGGTGGGTATAGAGTAGTGAGGACTGAGGGGGGAGTGGTATAGAGTAGTGAGGACTGAGGGGGGAGTGGTATAGAGTAGTGAGGACTGAGGGGGGGTGGTATAGAGTAGTGAGGGCTGAGGGGGGGTATAGAGTAGTGAGGACTGAGGGGGGTATAGAGTAGTGAGGACTGGGGGGGGTGGTTATAGAGTAGTGAGGACTGAGGGTGGGGTGGTATAGAGTAGTGAGGGCTGAGGGGGGGGTGGTATAGAGTAGTGAGGGCTGAGGGGGGGTGGTATAGAGTAATGAGGACTTAGGGGTGTGGTATAGAGTAATGAGGACTGAGGGGGGGGGGTATAGAGTAGTGAGGGCTGGGGGGGTGGTATAGAGTAATGAGGACTGAGGGTGGGTATAGAGTAGTGAGGACTGAGGGGGGAGTGGTATAGAGTAGTGAGGACTGAGGGGGGAGTGGTATAGAGTAGTGAGGACTGAGGGGGGGTGGTATAGAGTAGTGAGGGCTGAGGGGGGGTGGTATAGAGTAATGAGGACTTAGGGGGGGATGGTATAGAGTAGTGAAGGCTGGGGGGGGGGGGGTATAGAGTAATGAGGACTTAGGGGGGGTGGTATAGAGTAGTGAGGACAGGGGGTATAGAGTAGTGAGGACTGAGGGGGGGTATAGAGTAGTGAGGACTGAGGGGGGGGGGGGTTATAGAGTATTGAGGACTGAGGGGGGGGGGGTATAGAGTAGTGAGGACTGGGGGGGTATAGAATAGTGAGGACTGAGGTGGGGTATAGAATAGTGAGGACTGAGGGGGGGTATAGAGTAGTGAGGACTGAGGGGGTACAGTTCTGATTTTGAAAGCATTGTTTTGTTCATATACAGTGGGGAGAACAAGTATTTGATACACTGCCGATTTTGCAGGTTTTCCTACTTACAAAGCATGTAGAGGTCTGTAATTTTTATCATAGGTACACTTCAACTGCGAGAGACGGAATCTAAAACCAAAATCCAGAAAATCCCATTGTATGATTTTTAAGTAATTAATTTGCATTATATTGCATGACATAAGTATTTGATCACCTACCAACCAGTAAGAATTCCGGCTCTCACAGACATGTTAGTTTTTCTTTAAGAAGCCCGCCTGTTCTCCACTCATTACCTGTATTAACTGCACCTGTTTGAACTCGTTACCTGTATAAAAGACACCTGTCCACACACTCAATCAAACAGACTCCAACCTCTCCACAATGGCCAAGACCAGAGAGCTGTGTAAGGACATCAGGGATAAAATTGTAGACCTGCACAAGGCTGGGATGGGCTACAGGACAATAGGCAAGCAGCTTGGTGAGAAGGCAACAACTGTTGGCACAATTATTAGAAAATAGAAGAAGTTCAAGATGACGGTCAATCACCATCGGTCTGGGGCTCCATGCAAGATCTCACCTCATGGGGCATCAATGATCATGAGGAAGGTGAAGGATCAGCCCAGAACTACACGGCAGGACCTGGTCAATGACCTGAAGAGAGCTGGGACCACAGTCTCAAAGAAAACCATTAGTAACACACCATGCCGCCATGGACTAAAATCCTGCAGCGCACGCAAGGTCCCCCTGCTCAAGCCAGCGCATGTCCAGGCCCGTCTGAAGTTTGCCAATGACCATCTGGATGATCCAGAGGAGGAATGGGAGAAGGTCATGTGGTCTGATGAGACAAAAATAGAGCTTTTTGGTCCAAACTCCACTCGCCGTGTTTGGAGGAAAAAGAAGGATGAGTACAACCCCAAGAACACCATCCCAACCGTGAAGCATGGAGGTGGAAACATCATTCTTTGGGGATGCTTTTCTGCAAAGGGGACAGGACGACTGCACCGTATTGAGGGGAGGATGGATGGGGCCATGTATCGCGAGATCTTGGCCAACAACCTCCTTCCCTCAGTAAGAGCATTGAAGATGGGTCGTGGCTGGGTCTTCCAGCATGACATCGACCCGAAACACACAGCCAGGGCAACTTAGGAGTGGCTCCGTAAGAAGCATCTCAAGGTCCTGGAGTGCCCTAGCCAGTCTCCAGACCTGAACCCAATAGAACATCTTTGGAGGGAGCTGAAAGTCCGTATTGCCCAGCGACAGCCCCGAAACCTGAAGGATCTGGAGAAGGTCTGTATGGAGGAGTGGGCCAAAATCCCTGCTGCAGTGTGTGCAAACCTGGTCAAGACCTACAGGAAACGTATGATCTCTGTAATTGCAAACAAAGGTTTCTGTACCAAATATTAAGTTCTACTTTTCTGATGTATCAAATACTTATGTCATGCAATAAAATGCTAATTAATTACTTAAAAATCATACAGTGTGATTTTCTGGATTTTTGTTTTAGATTCCATCTCTCACAGTTGAAGTGTACCTATGATAAAAATTACAGACCTCTACATGCTTTGTAAGTAGGAAAACCTGCAAAATCGGCAGTGTATCAAATACTTGTTCTCCCCACTGTATGTGAGACAAAGTGACATTCTCTGTTGGCTTTGCATTTGTTCCTACTGTGAACCTAGATAGACTAAATGTTAAGTCAATAGAAACTGACAGTGTTCTTACAGAAAATGTTGTGCTGCACAGAACAGTTGTAGTATGCTCACAAGATCACAAAACCCATTTTATTATGTTCCATAAAATCTATGGCACAACTAAAAGAAATACAGATATCTACATTTCTACCAATACTTTACTACAAACAGAGACATACACACAGGTTAAATAAACCATGTAAACACATCTAAAAGACAAACCTCCCAGTTCTTGGAACTTCCTATTAAAACAACATAAAAGAGAACTCATTAAAAATAAACAATGTAATTACTATGAAAGGCTGCCCTAGAACTGACAGTCAATGATGTTCTTAAAAGATAAAGAAAAATGCTAATCCCACTTTCACATCCTGACAGATGTTTCCCTGGTGAAACTACATTCCAGTGATGCTTGCTGTTTGCTGTGACTGTAAAACCAGTCTGAAACCACTAGTGATTCTTCAACTTCCCTCTTCACTTAGAGGCCCTCTCGGTAACCCAGTCAATGACCTGCAAGATAATAAATAAAAACATATGGGTCTGTTTAAAAGCTGGAAGCCATACAATTTCCTAACTCTTCATGAACAATTTCTACCTGAATACCCCTTGACTTCTGAAGAACATGATTGAAAGCATGCCTTGGTAAGGGGAGGGTAAAATATGTAATAAACGGTTGACAGGTTACCTGCTTGGCATTGCTGCTGGCTGCTTTCTTCATTTCCTCATGAAGACCCCTGGACGTTTTCAGATCCTTTTGGAGAAAAGGAATACATTGTGACACGCGTGTCTCTGTAACTGACATGCTCTGAGAGTAGGTTGGTTATACACTGCTCAAAAAAATTAAGGGAACACTAAAATAACACATCCTAGATCTGAATGAATGAAATCATCTTATTAAATAGTTTTTTCTTTACACAGTTGAATGTGCTGACAACAAAATCACACAAAAATTATCAATGGGAATCAAATGTATCAACCCATGGAGGTCTGGATTTGGAGTCACCCTCAAAATTAAAGTGGAAAACCACACTACAGGCGGATCCAACGCAGGAACACAGGATTTGCAAGCCTGAAATGACAGTTCAACATCAGTCATCGTTTGATGTAATGTCCTTAAAACAAGTCAAAATGAGGCTCAGTAGTGTGTGTGGCCTCCACGTGCCTGTATGACCTCCCTACAACGCCTGGGCATGCTCCTGATGAGGTGGCGGATGGTCTCCTGAGGGATCTCCTCCTAGACCTGGACTAAAGCATCCGCCAACTCCTGGACAGTCTGTGGTGCAACGTGGCGTTGGTGGATGGAGCGAGACATGATGTCCCAGATGTGCTCAATTGGATTCAGGTCTGGGGAACGGGCGGGCCAGTCCATAGCATCAATGCCTTCCTCTTGCAGGAACTGCTGACACACTCCAGCCACATGAGGTCTAGCATTGTCTTGCATTAGGAGGAACCCAGGGCCAACCGCACCAGCATATGGTCTCACAAGTGGTCTGAGGATCTCATCTCGGTACCTAATGGCAGTCAGGCTACCTCTGGCGAGCACATGGAGGGCTGTGCGGCCCCCCAAAGAAATGCCACCCCACACCATGACTGACCCACCGCCAAACCGGTCATGCTGGAGGATGTTGCAGGCAGCAGAACGTTCTCCACGGCGTCTCCAGACTCTGTCACATGTGCTCAGTGTGAACCTGCTTTCATCTGTGAAGAGCACAGGGCGCCAGTGGCGAATTTGCCAATCTTGGTGTTCTCTGGCAAATGCCAAACGTCCTGCACGGTGTTGGGCTGTAAGCACAACCCCCACCTGTGGACGTCGGGCCCTCATACCACCCTCATGGAGTCTGTTTCTGACCGTTTGAGCAGACACATGCACATTTGTGGCCTGCTGGAGGTCATTTTGCAGGGCTCTGGCAGTGCTCCTCCTGCTCCTCCTTGCACAAAGGTGGAGGGTAGCAGTCCTGCTGCTGGGTTGTTGCCCTCCTACGGCCTCCTCCACGTCTCCTGATGTACTGGCCTGTCTCCTGGTAGCGCCTCCATGCTCTGGACACTACGCTGACAGACACAGCAAACCTTCTTGCCACAGCTCGCATTGATGTGCCTTCCTGGATGAGCTGCACTACCTGAGCCACTTGTGTGGGTTGTAGACTCTGTCTCATGCTACCACTAGAGTGAAAGCACCGCCAGCATTCAAAAGTGACCAAAACATCCGCCAGGAAGCATAGGAACTGAGAAGTGGTCTGTGGTCACCACCTGCAAAACCAGTCCTTTATTGGGGGTGTCTTGCTAATTGCCTATAATTTCCACCTGTTGTCTATTCCATTTGCACAACAGCATGTGAAATGTATTGTCAATCAGTGTTGCTTCCTAAGTGGACAGTTTATTTCACAGAAGTGTGATTGACTTGGAGTTACATTGTGTTGTTTAAGTGTTCCCTTTATTTTTTTGAGCAGTGTACATCTCTCAGTGAGGTTATTATGTACTTCAATTCAAGTGTGCTCATCTTTCTCTATAGTCTCTGGGGTGATGACGTTACAGTCAGCTGCTATAGGCAGGACAGACAGCCAGCTTATCTCTCTAGGCAATACAAAACAATCCTATCTATCTAACACAGTCTTAGTTGTCATTCTATCATTGAAAACTTTTTCAAAGAGGGGCCAAGGGACTTGAAGTTTTCACGTTAACTCACTGTTGGTGCTAAATGTCAAATTCAAAGAAAGGGAACAGGAGACAGACCTTCAGATAGAATTTGGAGATTTCAAACAGTCTTTGACTGCAGGCGGCAAGGCACTTATGTTCTCTGGTGATCCCATGATGCTTCAGCGTCTTCGCCACAACCTCTTTCAGCATCTAGAACAGAAATGACAGAAAACACTCTGCGTGTGTGTGTGTATCAATGGGAATCACTGACATTTCTCTAAATCAGGGATGGGCAACTTTGATGGGGGTGGGGGCCACAAAAAATCTGAACTTATCACGGGGGGCCGCAGTGGCTCGCGGGTCTGTGTACCCACATCCATATCCATACCCCCACCTTGAAGCAAAACGATTTAGCAACCCCCCCCCCCCCCCCCCCCCCCGACAGCAGACAGAAAATGAAGTTTAATTTCCTGCAAATATACACATTTTTCCATGGGGCGGAGAGAAATGTTTGCAGTTTTTAATATGATATTAGAGTGAGAGTGACTAACAAAATCAATGGGGGCCCCCCGGTCGGTAAGTCGACCGTGTTTACTAGAAGTTTAGATAGCTGGCTGCTAGACTAACTTACCAATCTCAAACATGTTATCTGACATGAGCTAATTGAGTGACATAACAAGAGAAAAACCAATGATGCACAACCACATTTTGAAATTACTATTCTAACTCGGATCATTAAGTTGTGACCCCGACTGAGTTTATTTTGTCTTTGAAAATGTATCCTCGGGCCTAGAAAAGGGGGGACGCCAGTCGCCCATCCCTGCTCTAAATAAACCTGTATTTTTCTCAATGGGGTCACGTCGTTCTTCTTGTGGTTGATAAACTCGGGTTTGCATAGTAATCAGAACAGCTCAAGGTCTTGTTCCTTGAAACTGAAACTCTTATCTCACGGAGCTTAACATTGTGGAGAATGGTAGGACAGAAAGGAATGTACAGTTGTCGTTAAAGATCTGGTGCAGCGTCATCATGTCGTAGTTACCTAGTGGGGGGCTATGATATGGCAATTTAGCACAGCATAACCTAATGGAAGACTATAAATTTAGATGTGTGTCTGTCTATAGAGATAAATACTCTGTGTCTATCTATGTGAATATCTACATGCTGTACAACACAGAAATATTTCCCCAACAGATACAATAAGCCATCATCAGCCAGTATGGCCTCTTACCCGGACATGTTTCTGGGAGCGAGACTCCTTGTTGGCCTTGTCCTCTGCCTGTCCCTGCCCGTGTCCCTGGGCCTGGGGGGCTCTGTGGCTCTGTGGGGGGTCAGGGTGGTGCTTCTCGGGCCCCTGGGGGCCAAGGGGAGCCAGTCTCAGGGCTGAGACAGAGGAGGTGGACTGAGACCTGGTATTCTGCAGTCTCAAGGCTCTCACAGCAGGGTGGGTATCAGTACCACTGCTACCAGAGCCCAGGGACTCACTGCTCTCTGACTTGGCCAGCCTGGACAATACAGACAGACAATAATTTTTTACAGAGTGGTGTCACTATCTCTGCCAGAAAGACTACTGTGAATCTACTCCTAATGACCTCAGCTGTCACCATAATCAATTAAGGTTCAATTCCATGGCAACAGACAACATATTTATTCTCTATGTAATTATACAGTAGCCAACTCCTAAAAAATATGAATCTAGAAAGTAATTTAGAGAGGCATCATCCTGTTGCTTTCTGGCATTATATTACATCATTAAGGCTATGAGGCTATATCATTTGATATTCATTATGGAAACATCAATTCTATCTGCTGGTCACATCACCTGAGTAATAAAACCATCAATATTTCTATCTGCTGGTCACATCACCTAAGTAATAAAACCATCATTTCTATCTGCTGGTCACATCACCTGAGTAATAAAACCATCATTTCTATCTGCTGGTCACATCACCTGAGTAATAAATCCATCATTTCTATCTGCTGGTCACATCACCTGAGTAATAAATCCATCATTTCTATCTGCTGGTCACATCACCTGAGTAATAAAACCATCAATATTTCTATCTGCTGGTCACATCACCTGAGTAATAAAACCATCAATATTTCTATCTGCTGGTCACATCACCTAAGTAATAAAACCATCATTTCTATCTGCTGGTCACATCACCTGAGTAATAAAACCATCATTTCTATCTGCTGGTCACATCACCTGAGTAATAAAACCATCATTTCTATCTGCTGGTCACGTCGCCACAGCAATAAAAACCATCCTCAGCAGACCAATATCTCATTTCACAGTAACTAATGGGTGTCACATAAAACAACTACATATAAAGGGTATCAATGTGTGAATAATACCATTCAGTTCCACTTTGAAAGACAATATGCTGACCACGGACTATACGGCTTCTGCCTCCCAAATGGCAGGCACCCTATTCCCAATTTAGTGCACTACTTCTACCCTGTAGGCCCTGTTCAAAAGTAGTGCACTATATAGGGAATAGGGTGCCATTTGGGATTAACCCTGTATCTATATGCATTAAGAGTCAGCAATGGAATGTGCTGCAGAGTCACAGTAAACTATTAACAGTCCGTAAAGAAGAATAACTGCAGATGGGAACAATCTTTCCCCCTCCTCTCTCCCTGTGTGTGTGTGTGTTTGTTTGTTTGAAGTTTTCAAGGTGAAAAGTGATCTGTACTCTTCAGACAGAGTGAATACCTCAGAACTGGAACAGCATTTTCTACTACTATCATATAACTCACCAACACTGTCCACTTTAGGCGAACCCATTTCAGCTGAACCCTCTTGATGTTAACTATTGATGTTCTAAAATGCTGAGGAGGAGCTACATAAATAATCCTGATCTCCCTTCCTCAGATCTGACAGCCACTCTCTAGGGACTAGTTGTCTTGTTAAGATGTCAGTATGACTGAACTATAGATGAACATGACTGAATGACTGGCGATAACACAGGGGACATGTTAACAACAACCAAGATAAAACACTGATGACCTAGAAAGAAAAATAAGAGAAATCCTGTTGTTTCTGATCAAAGGGAACAGAGAAATCCTGTTGTTTCTGATCAAAGGGAACAGAGAAATCCAGTTGTTTCTGATCAAAGGGAACAGAGAAATCCAGTTGTTTCTGATCAAAGGGAACAGAGAAATCCTGTAGTTTCTGATCAAAAGGGAACAGAGAAATCCTGTTGTTTCTGATCAAAGGGAACAGAGAAATCCTGTTGTTTCTGATCAAAGGGAACGGATAAATCCTGTTGTTTCTGATCAAAGGGAACAGATAAATCCTGTTGTTTCTGATCAAAGGGAAAAGAGAAAGCCTGTTGTTTCTGATCAAAGGGAACGGAGAAATCCTGTTGTTTCTGATCAAAGGGAACAGATACATCCTGTTGTTTCTGATCAAAGGGAACATATAAATCCTTTTTTTTCTGATCAAAGGGAACAGAGAAATCCAGTTGTTTCTGATCAAAGGGAACTGATAAATCCTGTTGTTTCTGATCAAAGGGAACAGATAAATCCTGTTGTTTCTGATAAAAGGGAACAGAGAAATCCTGTTGTTTCTGATCAAAGGGAATAGATAATTCCTTTTGTTTCTGATCAAAGGGAACAGATAAATCCTGTTGTTTCTGATCAAAGGGAGCGGAGAAATCTGGGTTGTTTCTGATCAAAGCGAACTGAGAAATCCAGTTGTTTCTGATCAAAGGGAACAGATCAATCCTTTTGTTTCTGATCAAAGGGAACAGATAAATCCTGTTGTTTCTGATCAAAGGGAACAGATAAATAATTTTGTTTCTGATCAAAGGGAACAGAGAAATCCTGTTGTTTCTGATCAAAGGGAACAGAGAAATCCTGTTGTTTCTGATCAAAGGGATCAGATCAATCCTGTTGTTTCTGATCAAAGGGAACAGATCAATCCAGTTGTTTCTGATCAAATGGAACAGATAAATCCTGTTGTTTCTGATCAAAGGGAACAGAGAAATCCTGTTGTTTCTGATCAAAGGGAACAGAGAAATCCTGTTGTTTCTGATCAAAGGGATCAGATCAATCCTGTTGTTTCTGATCAAAGGGATCAGATCAATCCTGTTGTTTCTGATCAAAGGGAACAGATAAATCCTGTTGTTTCTGATCAAATGGAACAGATAAATCCTGTTGTTTCTGATTAAAGGGAACAGATAAATCCTGTTGTTTCTGATCAAAGGGAACAGATAAATCCTGTTGTTTCTGATCAAAGGGAACATATCAATCATTTTGTTTCTGATCAAAGGGAACAGAGAAATCCAGTTGTTTCTGATCAAAGCGAACTGAGAAATCCAGTTGTTTCTGATCAAAGGGAACAGAGAAATCCTGTTGTTTCTGATCAAAGGGAACAGAGAAACTTGGTTGTTTCTGATCAAAGGGAACAGATACATCCTGTTGTTTCTGATCAAAGGGAACAGAGAAATCCTGTTGTTTCTGATCAAAGGGAACAGAGAAATCCTGTAGTTTCTGATCAAAGGGAAAAGAGAAATCCTGTTGTTTCTGATCAAAGGGAACAGAGAAATCCAGTTGTTTCTGATCAAAGGGAGCGGATAAATCCTGTTGTTTCTGATCAAAGGGAGCGGATAAATCCTGTTGTTTCTGATCACAGGGAGCAGAGAAATCCAGGTTGTTTCTGATCAAAGCGAACAGAGAAATCCAGTTGTTTCTGATCAAAGGGAACAGATAAATCATTTTGTTTCTGATCAAAGGGAACAGAGAAATCCTGTTGTTTCTGATCAAAGGGAACATAGAAACTTGGTTGTTTCTGATCAAAGGGAACAGAGAAATCCTGTTGTTTCTGATCAAAGGGAACGGATACATCCTGTTGTTTCTGATCAAAGGGAACAGATACATCCTGTTGTTTCTGATCAAAGGGAACAGATCATTCCTTTTGTTTCTGATCAAAGGGAACAGATAAGAGAAAGGAGCAGCTACAGAGGGAAGTGACTGACAGACTCTATTATCGCTAGTGAACAGACTGGAGTCCAGTCAAACCACATGTAAACCAAATACTTTTATAACTAAACCAAGATAGACCACAGCCCGTCGTTTCAAATGGGAACAAATTAGTCATAGTGGGCAGAACAAGCAAGGAGGTGGGCAGAGCCAAGCACGAGCTAGCGAAATTCTATTGCCTCGTTTCTAGCACACATTTACATATTTCCATTAGGGAACGCCTACTTTGTGAAGTGCGCGTGTGCAATAACTCAATTCGCCTTTGCACTCTTTCTAAACAACACAATTAAAAAAAACTTTGGCAAAGGGTAAAGTCTACAAAACTTAGTCCACTCTGTTCGTTACAGATTCTAGTTTTGGGAACAGAAAACTGTATTTAGATTAAATGTTTCATCGATGATAAAATGTACAGAATGTCGGCTGAAATCCATCTCGTCCCCATCTTCTCCCACTGCCGGCCACTGGGCTTCCTCTCGCTACCATATTTGATAGTAAGTGGAAAAGCCAAGCAGATGCTTCACATTATTACATCCGGTGAAATATCTGTCTCATTGTTCTATCTGTGTGTAAACTCTGGGATTTGATGAACAAATATACTGAGCCTGCAAACATCCCAAGGTGAAATGTAACATGAGTAGAGATAGTGGGTGGCCAATTCAACCTAGTAGTAGAAGACTATCACACTGTAATCTATTCCCCTATGAAGTTTATTGTTACAACGTTTCAAGCCTAGTTCCACCTTTGGTAACCTAAGGCTGGAAACATTGTTTCAATAACAAAAATGGGAGCTTAAAACAGTGTGCAAAAATCTTCTGTTGAATATATTGGTTGACCTCTAGCACCTGCTCTAAACCACAGGTTGTATGTACGTAACCTTTGCCTATATAGAACACGATGCTCCTAATATGCCATTTAGCGGATGCTTTTATCCAAAGTGACTCACAGTCATGCGTGCATGCATTTTTTATGTATAGGTGGCCCTGGGAATCAAACCCACTATCCTGGCGTTGCAAGAGCCATGCTCTACCAACTGAGCTACAGAGTATCATACAAACCTCACTAACCTCTTATTGGGGTGGATGGCGTCTGTATCCCTTGATCGTCTCTTGATCCTGGGCAGGTCAGAGTTAAGGAGGGCCTCTCCGTCCGGGACACTTCCTGGTTCAGACAGCACGGCCGGCGAGGGGGCAGGGCTTAAGGCAAAGGGGACGGGACAAGGCTCCTTGGAGCAGGTTGTCTGGGTCTCGTAGCGAATCAGACGAGACTGCAGCCGGACGAAGCCCTGGTCCCGGTCCAAGGCCTTGTGGCCCTGCTCGTCCAGACAGAACCTGGGTAGGGCCAAGAGATTAGTGATTCAAAACAAAGACAAGTCTGGACGATAGATAGCCAATAAAGTAGTAGTTAATAATAGATAAAAACTGAAAGATCAGGACTAAATTAGCATCAGAACAAGACGGGTCTCTCTCATGAGTCGGCAGAACTTGACAAGGGAGAAGAAGAGCTGATAGTGAGCCAGGACACAGAGACAGAGGGGTCTTATAGTGAGCCAGGACACAGAGACAGAGGGGTCTTATAGTGAGCCAGGACACAGAGACAGAGGGGTCTTATAGTGAGCCAGGACACAGAGACAGAGGGGTCTTATAGTGAGCTAGGACACAGAGACAGAGGGGTCTTATAGTGAGCCAGGACACAGAGACAGAGGGGTCTTATAGTGAGCCAGGACACAGAGACAGAGGGGTCTTATAGTGAGCCAGGACACAGAGACAGAGGGGTCTTATAGTGAGCCAGGACACAGAGACAGAGGGGTCTTATAGTGAGCCAGGACACAGAGACAGAGGGGTCTTATAGTGAGCCAGGACACAGAGACAGAGGGGTCTTATAGTGAGCCAGGACACAGAGACAGAGGGGTCTGATAGTGAGCCAGGACACAGAGACAGAGGGGTCTGATAGTGAGCCAGGACACAGAGACAGAGGGGTCTGATAGTGAGCCAGGACACAGAGACAGAAGGGTCTGACAGTGAGCCAGGACACAGAGGGGTCTGATAGTGAGCCAGGACACAGAGACAGAGGGGTCTTATAGTGAGCCAGGACACAGAGACAGAGGGGTCTGACAGTGAGCCTCCTGTTAACACTAGCCGTGGATGTGGTGTGTCCAAAGCCACATTCCTGCTTCATGTGTTGGTGCAGCTATTAGCATATACCGTAAATACCATAGAATATATAGACTAACAAAATAAGGATCTAATTCAAACTATACAGGAGCTTCTCATCTAAACCATATTGAACATAGTGTTGCCCACTTGACTAATGCAATGATTCACAAATGTGTGGATATTTTAAAAGCCTTTAATTTTCAATTTGTCTAACAGAGCACAAACGCTGTACAGGTATTAAGGTAATTCTTGCAGGGACATGTGGTGTGGGAGAACCGTTGTCTGTACACTGTACCACTCAGAGGGGGTATGTGGTGTAGATGTCAACCTCAGGAGGTAATGTGGGAGACATCTCAAAGAGAGAGTTGAATCTAGATCAGTCTCTTTACACTACACAAGTACATGTCCTGGAGCTAGTTGTGTCGTCAGGCCCTCAGGTGATTAGAGATACTGTAAGTACTCTACCCTAAGAGACAAATAGGTTTATGTGTAGATGAACCTTTATTCCATGGTAGTGGTAGGGTTACTGTATGTATAAAGACACCTACTCTATTCCATGGTAGTGGGAGCTGGCTGCCTGGTTGAAGGGGAGCTGGGTCACTTTCCTGGGGGTCAGGTCTGGAGACATGTGGAATGTATTTCCCCTGGAGACACACACAGACACACACTGTTGTACAGGAGCTGTGAACATTTTCTAATTAAATCCAAGACTGCAGCAAAGAACACGCAGTCCTGCAGCTATCTGAAGTTAAACTAAAACCCTCCTGTCCTCTGCACCCAAACTGATTAAGTCTGACAGCTTGAATGTCTAGAATGCCTCTTAATTGAGTTTATTTTAATGAACATTAATTACTACAAAAACGTATTCTTCTCTGCCTTCTGTAAAAACACTGTCCAATAAAAGCTCTTTGAATCAGAGGAATTAAATTAGCTGAAACACTTTGATTCTAATGCATCTCAGAAGTAGACAACCACATAAAATCCATGTCGCTACATGGTGGCTGAGCATTTGAAACATCCTAACTGAATAGTTGTCTGCTGAATGGAGTTGTTTCTCCTCTAGGGAAGATAATATTATAAACATATTATTCAATGTTTGAAAGCACCAACAAGCATGTTGACAGCATTTTTTTGGGGGGCATTTCAGATTCAGACGGTGACAAAACTGATTTCCCTAGAGTCACACTGAAGTGCCGGGACACATTTCTACATCCATATTAGAAGCCTGAAACCTAATTTCATACACTTTAGTCAGACAGATTGTCCCCTTGCTGAGTTACCCTCAGTAGCTCGGTTTCCATCCAACTGGCGACAGATTTTCATGCAAATATTCTAAAATCTGCATAAAGAAAATATGCGCATTTTCCCACCAGTGGCGTGTTTCCACCAAACTGACTTGTTGCGGATAAAAATCAGTGCGTGACGACGTAATGCACGCAAAATGTACTTACGTTTTCATGTACCGAATAAAAATCTAAAGTTCAATGTGTTTCCATCGCATTTTCAACTCTACCGATAATTTTGTCACAAAAACTGTTGCCTTAAACAGCAAATGTGCCTACTCTGGTCTTGGCATGTGCGCTCTAGCCAACGGATCGCAGATACAATGCGGGTAGGCTAGTCTACATGAAGAGATTATTATGGATATTTATTTGTCAATCGGCAGTCAAGCATCGATCATCATGTCACCAGAATCAGACCCTCGATATTTACTGGGAAGGAGTAAAGCTCATCACCAAAGATTTTAAAAACTAACCCAAGATAGACCACAGCCTGTCGTTTCCAATGGGAGCAAATTAAATCAGTGGGCAGAACAAGCAAGGAGATGGGCAGAGCCAAGCATGCGCTAGCAAGATCCCATTGGTGCTTTCGAGCATGTATTTGCATATTTACGTTAGGGAAAGCCTACTCTGTGAAGTGCGCGTGTACAATAACTCAATTTGCCCTTGCACTCTTTCTAAGCAATGCCATATTTTGAAACTTTGGCAAAGGGCAAAGTCTACAAAACTTAGTCCACTCTGTCGTAACATATTCTAGTTTTGGGAACAGAAAACTGTATTGACATCAAATGTTTCATTGATGAGAAAATGTGCAGAATGTCGGCCAAAATCCATCTGGCTCCATCTTTCCCCACTGCCGGCCACTGGGCTTCCTCTCATCACCATATATGGTGGTGAGTGGAAATGCCAACTGGATGCTTTAGATTTATACATCTGGTGAAACATCTGGCTCATTGTTCTATCTACGTCATCACCGTGCACTTTCACCACCCTGTGAAGTTAATCATCATTTATTTCATCTGCAGCCTAATAAACTGCATGGTTTCCCAAGTGGGAGGACCAGACACCATATCAACGCGTGACTCCAAGTTTACTTCAATATGATGCATACTCTCACTACTGGTGTCCTCCTGGGCTCAGTTCTAGGCCCTCTTCTATCGATACACCAAGTCACTCGGCTCCGTCATATCCTCACATGGTCTCTCCTATCATTGCTATGCGGATGACACTCAACTGCCTTTCTCCTTCCCTCCTTCTGACACCCATCTCTGCGTGCCCGGCAGATATTTCAGCTTGGATGTCGGTCCACCACCTCAAGCTCAACCTCGACAAGACAGAGCTGCTCTTCCTCCGGTTAGTGTTAACTACTTTGGGGCACTCAGACACATATAATTGACCAGAGAGGCCATTGTACATAAAGTAGAACACATCTAAATACGTTATACAACTTTCTGTAGTAGTGACAGAATGAGTCAAACCACAATGCCTTTGAACAAATCCCTAAAGTATTGGAATTGAACAATCACACTTCTGTGAAATTAAACTGTCCACTTAGGAAGCAACACTGATTGACAATACATTTCACATGCTGTTGTGCAAATGGAATAGACAACAGGTGGAAATTATAGGCAATTAGCAAGACACCCCCAATAAAGGACTGGTTTTGCAGGTGGTGACCACAGACCACTTCTCAGTTCCTATGCTTCCTGGCTGATGTTTTGGTCACTTTTGAATGCTGGCGGTGCTTTCACTCTAGTGGTAACATGAGACGGAGTCTACAACCCACACAAGTGGCTCAGGTAGTGCAGCTCATCCAGGAAGGCACATCAATGCGAGCTGTGGCAAGAAGGTTTGCTGTGTCTGTCAGCGTAGTGTCCAGAGCATGGAAGCACTACCAGGAGACAGGCCAGTACATCAGGAGACGTGGAGGAGGCCGTAGGAGGGCAACAACCCAGCAGCAGGACTGCTACCTCCACCTTTGTGCAAGGAGGAGCAGGAGGAGCACTGCCAGAGCCCTGCAAAATGACCTCCAGCAGGCCACAAATGTGCATGTGTCTGCTCAAACGGTCAGAAACAGACTCCATGAGGGTGGTATGAGGGCCCGACGTCCACAGGTGGGGGTTGTGCTTACAGCCCAACACCGTGCAGGACGTTTGGCATTTGCCAGAGAACACCAAGATTGGCAAATTCGCCACTGGTGCCCTGTGCTCTTCACAGATTAAAGCAGGTTCACACTGAGCACATGTGACAGACGTGACAGAGTCTGGAGACGCCGTGGAGAACGTTCTGCTGCCTGCAACATCCTCCAGCATGACCGGTTTGGCGGTGGGTCAGTCATGGTGTGGGGTGGCATTTCTTTGGGGGGCCGCACAGCCCTCCATGTGCTCGCCAGAGGTAGCCTGACTGCCATTAGGTACCGAGATGAGATCCTCAGACCCCTTGTGAGACCATATGCTGGTGCGGTTGGCCCTGGGTTCCTCCTAATGCAAGACAATGCTAGACCTCATGTGGCTGGAGTGTGTCAGCAGTTCCTGCAAGAGGAAGGCATTGATGCTATGGACTGGCCCGCCCGTTCCCCAGACCTGAATCCAATTGAGCACATCTGGGACATCATGTCTCGCTCCATCCACCAATGCCACGTTGCATCACAGACTGTCCAGGAGTTGGCGGATGCTTTAGTCCAGGTCTGGGAGGAGATACCTCAGGAGACCATCCACCACCTCATCAGGAGCATGCCCAGGCGTTGTAGGGAGGTCATACAGGCACGTGGAGGCCACACACACTACTGAGCCTCATTTTGACTTGTTTTAAGGACATTACATCAAAGTTGGATCAGCCTGTAGTGTGGTTTTCCACTTTAATTTTGAGGTTGACTCCAAATCCAGACCTCCATGGGTTGATACATTTGATTTCCATTGATCATTTTTGTGTGATTTTGTTGTCAGCACATTCAACTATGTAAAGAAAAAAGTATTTAATAAGATTATTTCATTCATTCAGATCTAGGATGTGTTATTTTAGTGTTCCCTTTATTTTTTTGAGCAGTGTATATTACAGAGGAGCTTGTAGGAATATATAGTTACCCTAGTCTCGGGACTAATATAGTTACCCTAGTCTCTGGACTAATAGAGGCTGCAGATCTCCGGTGGGCAGGCCATCAGGTGTGAAGTGTCTGAGCAGCTCTTTGGCATCCAGCAAGGCTGGGGTGGTTCTCTGGCCCTGGACGTCCTTAGGCCCCAGCAGACAGTCAGACGAGCCGCCAGACATCAGACCAAACCTGGGAAGGGAGACAGGCAGGAGGAGACCACAGATGAGATGGTTAAATGAGTCACGTGTCAGGAACCAAAGATACTGTCGGCCTCTCTTTCTATTCCCATAAGCCACCTTGCTTGCTTATTATTGTTGGAAGAGAGGTGTTAAGTACCGATGTGAACACCATGATTCAAGTTTACCTCAGCTTCTGACGAGTCCTCTGGAGGTTCTCATAGTTCTGCAGAACACTTCTCTCCGGCCAGTCAACATGTTGGGAGTGTTTAATGAACTCTACATTAGGATGGGAATAGAGTCATTTAAGTTTTTTCAGTTTATCAGTCAACGTTTCTAGTAGGAATCAGTTTCAGAGATAACACATACATATTACTGCGCTGTGTTAAGTGGAGTAACGAGAGAGTGGAACAACAGAATACCTGTAGTCTTCATAGTGTGGTTCTCCTCCTCTGCTCCACAGTGCTCAACTCTGGGCAGGCTGGAGTCTTTAGGCAGGCTGGAGGCTTTAGGCAGGGCAGAGTCATGCATCTTGAGGTACTGTTCTCTGGCCAGGCTGAGCAGGACCTTCAGGTCATTGACTGGTATTGAGGCTGGCTTGTCTGCCTCTTCTCTACGTCCTAGTCAAGATGAAATAATAATAGTCAGTAAGTAGCCTACTGTAAGTGCTCTACAGACTGACTAATACTGGAGGAACCACTTACCTGTCTGGCTGCTCTACAGACTGACTAATACTGGAGGAACCACTTACCTGTCTGGCTGCTCTACAGACTGACTAATACTGGAGGAACCACTTACCTGTCTGGCTGCTCTACAGACTGACTAATACTGGAGGAACCACTTACCTGTCTGGCTGCTCTACAGACTGACTAATACTGGAAGAACCACTTACCTGTCTGGCTGCTCTACAGACTGACTAATACTGGAGGAACCACTTACCTGTCTGGCTGCTCTACAGACTGACTAATACTGGAGGAACCACTTACCTGTCTGGCTGCTCTACAGACTGACTAATACTGGAGGAACCACTTACCTGTCTGGCTGCTCTACAGACTGACTAATACTGGAGGAACCACTTACCTGTCTGGCTGCTCTACAGACTGACTAATACTGGAGGAACCACTTACCTGTCTGGCTGCTCTACAGACTGACTAATACTGGAGGAACCACTTACCTGTCTGGCTGCTCTACAGACTGACTTTAATACTGGATTATCCACTTACCTGTCTGGCTGCTCTACAGACTGACTAATACTGGAGGAACCACTTACCTGTCTGGCTGCTCTACAGACTGACTTTAATACTGGAGGAACCACTTACCTGTCTGGCTGCTCTACAGACTGACTTTAATACTGGAGGATCCACTTACTTGTCTGGCTGCTCTACAGACTGACTTTAATACTGGAGGATCCACTTATCTGGCTGGCTGCTAGACAGACTGACTTGCTTTATTAAACTATGCTAGATATAAAATAGAATGTTCTCAATAACTTACCTGGTTAAATAAAATACAATTATAAAAAAGTAATTTAGCTAGGCTCTATTTGGTGTCAATAAAGTTAACTGCAAATGGAAAGAGTGTGCTGAGGACAGACATTTTAATATATATTCTGCGTCAGATATGATATGAGGTATCTCTTGAAAAATCGAGTTTTATCTCAACAAGACTTACATGGGTAAATAAAATTAGATGTTTTACTTACTCAGACACTCCTTTAGGACCAAGGTCTGCACCTTGGCCAACTTCCTCTCTCTCTGTAGCAGTTGGTCTCCATGGAGACAGGGCAGGGAGCGCAGCCAGTCTGTAGTGGTGGAAACTGGGGGAGGCGACCAAGTGGACTGCTTTATCAATCAATTGGCTGAACCCTTCTCAATAACGTGAAAGAAAAGAGCAACCTGCACACTGCTCCCGCTAGCGTTACTTATTAGCCTCTTCACTTTACGGCCCGTTAGGAGACTCTCTCAGCCTTTAATCTGTTTCACAAAAGTTCTCAGAGGGCCGTATAAGAATGACAGAGCGCAAAACAGAGAGAGAGAAAGAAAGAGCGAGAGAGAAAGAGAGAGAAAGAAAGAGCGAGAGAGAGAAAGAGAGAGAGCGAGAAAGAGAGAAAGAGAGAGTGTGAGAGAGAAAGAGAGAGAAAGAGAGTGAGAGAGCGAGAAAGAGAGAAAGAGTGTGAGAGAGAAAGAGAGAGAGAAAGAGAGAGAGAGAGAGAGAGAGAGAAAAGGGGAGAACAGAACAGGGCCTTTTAGGAACCATTGCTTGTTCCTCCATATTGTTCTCTTTCAGAAGGAAAATGGTACATGTCAGGGTTTTTCTTAAGGTTTTTATATAATAAACTCCTACAGAGAGCGAAGGGAACAGGAAGACCTTTCAGGATCTATTGCTTGTTCCACCATTTTGTTCTGTTCTCTTTGAGAATGAAAATGCCACATGAGAGTTGGTGTACGAAAGAACCATTCTTACGCTTTAATCATTTTATGAAGGTACTCAGAGAGAGGGTCTTAAAAGCCAGAAGGAGAGGGAACTATTCTTTCACCATCTTATGTTCTCTTTCAGAAATAAATGCTACATGAGAGTTTGTGTAAAATAAAATAAACTCTCTGTAAGTCTCTCTGGATGAGAGACTCTGCTAAATGCCTGAAATATATTTTAAAAGTACAATGTCTTTCTTTTTTTGGGGCATTCCATAATGGAACAGAATGTGCTCTCTGAATGAATGTGGAGGCCTACATGCTTTATACTGTACAAAGTACCAAGAGCCATGTAAATATCAGCTCTGACTGTACCAACCTACACTACAGCCTGTTTCAGTGTGTTCCCAGTCCACAGGGCTAACGCAGCAGGAGAGAGAGAGAGAGAGAGTGGCTACACTGCTGTGCCTTCTCTCCTCCTCTTCTGTTTCACTCCCAGGTATTACGTCTGTCTTTCTACAGGGCTTTATTATCGCTGATAAATATAATAATAATAATATAATATGCCATTTAGCAGACGCTTTTATCCAAAGCGACTTACAGTCATGTGTGCATACATTTTTACGTATGGGTGGTCCCGGGGATCGAACCCACTACCCTGGCGTTACAAGCGCCATGCTCTACCAATTGAGCTACAGAGGACCACAATATCCAGAGGAAAGAGTCAGAGAAGTTAGAGCAGGGTTCCCCAACTGGTGGCCCGCGGGTGGTTTTATTTTGGCACCCCTTCTTTTATTTATTTGAATTTTCAGACATAAAAAAGACCCCCCCAAAAAAATATATACCGTATTTTCCGCACTATAAAGCGCACCGGATTATAAGGCGCACCTTCAATGAATGGCCTATTTTAGAACTGTTTTCATATATAGGGCGCACCGGATTATAAGGCGCATAGAATAGAAGATACTGCAGTCAAACGTTTGACTGGGGTTGCGTTATGCATCCACTAGATGGAGCTGTGCTAAAGGGAATGTCAACAAAACAGTCAGATAAAGTCAAACTTTATTAAGCGTTCTGACAACTCCGTTCACTCCCATGGTAACGTTGTTCAAACGTTAATGTGCATATTAACAATATCTCCCAGCCTTGCTCACTCTTCTCCCAAACGTGGAGGGGAACTTTTCCCTGATTCAGTAAACACGTAGTAAAAGAAACAGTCTGATACCACTAAATCAAACGTTAGTGCATAACTCAACATTGTTCAGTTACGTATAACACGTAAAGATCACTTTTTCAGTTCATTCCCCGTCCACGAATCCCTCGAATTCTTCTTCTTCAGTGTCCGAATTGAACAGTTGGGCGACTACGGCATCCAACCTGCCCGGCTCCCTCTCGTCATTATCCGAGTCAGTGTCGCTGCTGTTGCCTGGCAGTTCAGAGATTATTCCTGCCTTCGTGAAAGCTTGGACCACAGTTGAGACTGATATATCAGCCCAGGCATCCACGATCCATTGGCAGATAGTGACGAAAGCACCAAGAAGGACCGCCTCGAAATTCATCGATGATCATGTCCTGTGCTAGCGCTGTTGCCTTCATTCGAATAGTGACTGTAGAGACGCTTCTACTTGCTGCTCTCTGTTCAACAACCCACTGTTCGAGTTTGTCCTCTAACTGTGGCCATCTCGCTTGTTCCCTCGGAAACTCTGTTTAGTCTTCTTTACTTGGCGCAGGTCATCTTCTTGCTTCCTCCACTTCCGTACCATTGATTCATTAATGTTGAATTATCTCGCTGCTGCTCTATTCCCATATTCTACTGCGTGACCGACAGCCTTGAGCTTGAACTCTGCGTCGTAAGCGTGTCTCTTGAAAGGTGCCATTTTGGGGTCTTTATACACACACAAGTGGTGTGGGACTGAGTAAGCACAGTACCGGTGTTTACTGACTACGGTAGCCGTAATGCTGCAAGCGGTGCGGCTTTGTAGTTTACCAGTCGTACTGAAACATTTCATTATTATTAAATTGTTTTTATTGGTTTTTCATACCGAAGCATTTTGACAGAGCGCCGTGTACAACCAGTATGGATCAACCAATTAACCAATTGATCTATATATAAGGCGCTCCGGATTATAAGGCGCACTGTCGTTTTTTGAGAAAATTAAAGGCTTTTAAGTGCGCCTTATAGTGCGGAAAATACGGTATGTGATCGTATACAAATGTAGGCAAGGCTTGAAATAATTATGTTTTAGTCAAATATTACAGTGGGGAAAAAAAGTATTTAGTCAGCCACCAATTGTGCAAGTTCTCCCACTTAAAAAGATGAGAGAGGCCTGTAATTTTCATCATAGGTACACGTCAATTATGACAGACAAAATTAGAAAAAAAAATCCAGAAAATCACATTGTAGGATTTTTTATGAATTTATTTGCAAATTATGGTGGAAAATAAGTATTTGGTCAATAACAAAAGTTTCTCAATACTTTGTTATATACCCTTTGTTGGCAATGACACAGGTCAAACGTTTTCTGTAAGTCTTCACAAGGTTTCCACACACTGTTGCTGGTATTTTGGCCCATTCCTCCATGCAGATCTCCTCTAGAGCAGTGATGTTTTGGGGCTGTCGCTGGGCAACACGGACTTTCAACTCCCTCCAAAGATTTTCTATGGGGTTGAGATCTGGAGACTGGCTAGGCCACTCCAGGACCTTGAAATGCTTCTTACGAAGCCACTCCTTCGTTGCCCGGGCGGTGTGTTTGGGATCATTGTCATGCTGAAAGACCCAGCCACGTTTCATCTTCAATGCCCTTGCTGATGGAAGGAGGTTTTCAGTCAAAATCTCACGATACATGTCCCCATTCATTCTTTCCTTTACACGGATCAGTCGTCCTGGTCCCTTTGCAGAAAAACAGCCCCAAAGCATGATGTTTCCACCCCCATGCTTCACAGTAGGTATGGTGTTATTTGGATGCAACTCAGCATTCTTTGTCCTCCAAACACGACGAGTTGAGTTTTTACCAAAATGTTCTATTTTGGTTTCATCTGACCATATGACATTCTCCCAATCCTCTTCTGGATCATCCAAATGCACTCTAGCAAACTTCAGACAGGTCTGGACATGTACTGGCTTAAGCAGGGGGACACGTCTCGCACTGCAGGATTTGAGTCCCTGGCGGGGTAGTGTGTTACTGATGGTAGGCTTTGTTACTTTGGTCCCAGCTCTCTGCAGGTCATTCACTAGGTCCCCCCGTGTGGTTCTGGGATTTTTGCTCACCGTGCTTGTGATCATTTTGACCCCACGGGGTGAGATCTTGCATGGAGCCCCAGATCGAGGGAGATTATCAGTGGTCTTGTATGTCTTCCATTTCCTAATAATTACTCCCACAGTTGATTTCTTCAAACCAAGCTGCTTACCTATTGCAGATTCAGTCTTCCCAGCCTGGTGCAGGTCTACAATTTTGTTTCTGGTGTCCTTTGACAGCTCTTTGGTCTTGGCCATAGTGGAGTTTGGAGTGTGACTGTTTGAGGTTGTGGACAGGTGTCTTTTATACTGATAACAAGTTCAAACAGGTGCCAGTAATACAGGTAACGAGTGGAGGACAGAGGAGCCTCTTAAAGAAGAAGTTACAGGTCTGTGAGAGCCAGAAATCTTGCTTGTTTGTAGGTGACCAAATACTTATTTTCCACCATAATTTGCAAATAAATTCATTAAAAATCCTACAATGTGATTTTCTGGAAAAAAAATTCTCAATTTGTCTGTCATAGTTGACGTGTTCCTATGATGAAAATTACAGGCCTCTCTCATCTTTTTAAGTGGGAGAACTTGCACAATTGGTGGCTGACTAAATACTTTTTTTCCCCACTGTATATCTGTTTGGGCTTCTTGCGGTCAATTTGCAGTCTACAAATGAATTGTAATTATGTTCCGGCCACCCGACCATCCGCTCAAGAAAAAAAAATCAGCCCGCGGCTGAATCTAGTTGAGGAACAAGTTAAAGATTCAGAGGAAAGAGGAGTTAGAGGAAGAAGTACATAGTGGTTGGGCCATTTTATAATTCAGGCTCCAAGTTTCTATTCATAACTTTCTAGTAGAAATACCTTGGGTTATTCTACCATTTTAAAATGATTAAAACTAGACTGAGTGTTAGGAAATGGAGAGGTGGATAAAAGCATCAGCTAGAGGGATCCTTCTTGTACTTTTCAACTTGTGGAGACTGAAGAAGGCACCGCCTTAGACCCAAGGAACAGTAAATTACCTCAAAGAGAGGAGGCCTTTTAAGACTGCTCTATATCAAGCTGACAGTAGACCATTCATACTGTCCATGACATTGACAGGTAAGTCACCAATTATACAGTAAAGAACATTTAAATCAGAGTAGATATTTGTTTGTTCTTGTTTTTGTTTTTTTAAGAGTTTCTTACCTGAAAACGACAAAGAATTTTCTTTCAGAAGCCCATTGATGGTTGCCATGGCAGCGGCTCCATTGATTTGATTGGCTGAGTGTATCATGCGGGCCTTGCAGTCTCCGCCCTCTGACCCCTGGACCAACAGGAAGTAGTGTCCGCGCTCACCCTTCACCTCCACATCTGGAACTATGGCAAATCAAATAGGTCAAAATTAGTTTCAAATAAAGAATACACATCCAGGTTATATGTACTGAAAAAGCCATAGGAATGCCTAGGGAATTGTATATAGTATAAAGAGTGCCTTGGTTCTCCTTGTTGCCTTGATTCTGTTTGTTTAAATATCTATAGTTCCTATACCATCAGTCCTTTTTCTCACACATGAGCTGTAGCTGACGATCCACATTCAGTACCTACCAGGCAGGGCCTTGGGTCTCTTGGCTATGAAGTCCTTCCACTTCTGGGAGCTGAGCTGAGATGCAGGGGGCAGAGCCATGGAGCTGACCATACAGGATAGAGAGAACAGGGCCCCTACCTGGAGACACAACATCACTATACATACTACACCATACTACTACAGTACTACTACTACTGAGAGGCAGGGGGCAGAGCCATGGAGCTGACCATACAGGATAGAGAGAACAGGGCCCCTACCTGGAGACACAACATCACTATACATACTACACCATACTACTACAGTACTACTACTACTGAGAGGCAGGGGGCAGAGCCATGGAGCTGACCATACAGGATAGAGAGAACAGGGCCCTTACATGGAGTGTAAACCAACACTTACTTGACATAGCTAGAGCTTGGAACTAGAAAGTTCTATCTGCAAAAAGATGATTCTGAGATAATTTGCTTTAAAGTTCTGAACCCTCATTGGTTTGAATGGTGTCAGTGATTGTTATCTTGTATTCTTTTGAACGTAACAATATGAATTGGGGTATTTAGAGTACTGTACTAAATAGGTAGAGAACATTGAACAGAACAAGGCTATGTCAATAACTCAATTTCCTCACAAATTCAGATAGAACCTTATTGTCCCAAGCTCTGCATTCGCCCCGTTGTTGTTGTACCTGTACCTGTACCACCACCACCACACAGTATAATGACTCACACACTGGAGGAGTACTGACTGATTCATTTACCTTTCCAGACAGTGATCTGAACTGATCAAGGAGCAGTTTATCTTTTAGTGATTTGGAGGACAGTTCCCTGTAGTGATAGGTCAAGGAATGAACAAGTGTAGATAACTGGGGAGATGTATCTAGCGCTTTCTTATTTCCTTTTATACTGTACATGACAAGGTTTGATCTGTTATCACAGTAGAAAAATATCATGTTCAGTCTACATAGGCATACAGTCACATGAGACCTGGCCAATCATTATCTAAGAACAAAGTTCATTATCCCCAAACCAGGTTCAAGGGTAAACCTGTTCAGACAGTAAATAAATGACTACCGGTATATCTGCAGCCTGACTGTCAGCGTGACTGTCTAGCAGTTCACCTACAACTGCTGGTAACATTTTGGAAAGTCCCTTCCCTTAAACCAGCTATGTGGTTAAATATCTCCAGTTTACAGATCTGAGAGGCACAGTTTATCTGAGATGTGGACACATCAGTCATCAGCTGATGTGAAGGATACAGGTGAAACTCTGTGCTGGAGCGGAGGAAGCTGGGAAGATCTGACACAGTCACCAACTGAACTAGGTCTAGAACAGGCCGGTAGTAATGGAACACCTGGAGGGGGGGGGGGGGGGGAGAGAGAGAGAGAGGGAGAGAGAGAGAGAGAGACAGAGAGACAGAGAGAGAGAGAGAGAGAGAGAGAAGAGAAAAGAAGAGAGAGAGAGATATATACAGATGCGAAGAAGAGGACGAGATAGCTGATCAGAAACGATGATAGTAATATATAGACCTGCTATCCAGCTCATCTCTCTATAGTCTACCCTAATAGCTACTCATATAGATCGTATTATATGGGAAGCATCCATCTACTAACGATCTATCTATATATAGAATCTATATATAAGACAGAGAGAGTACATATAGAGAGATACAGAGTGAAATGACAGAGAGATGAAGGCAGGAAAAAGAAAGAAAGAGTGGAAGGGGGTTAGAAAGAAGGGGGGTGAAAGGACACAGAACAGCATGTCAAAATTGACACACACACACAACACAAGCTTTAGATTTAAATATTACCACTTGATAGAAAGTGGAAGCCGTAAAGCTGATATTTAGTTGGCATGTTTGAGTACTTTTATTTACCTCTAACTTTACAGCAATGTCAGCTTTGTTCAACGACTGTATCAGGTATTATCAGACTGTGTGTTTGTGTGTGTATGTATATGTGTGTGTGTGTGTGTGTGTGTGTGTGTGTGTGTGTATGTATGTGTGTGTGTGTGTGTGTAGCTAGGCCAGTTTTATAAGTAGCAGGCATAGCTTTCACCCTATCAGCTCCTTCCCCCGCACCTCCTCCCCTCCTTTCTCTGCCCTGGCCCGGGATTAGCTCCAAATCCCATTTCACAAACAAGGGACAGAGACAGCTCCTTCACAGGTCACTGTAAAACAGATTTAAATCCATCGATGCAAAGGCTGCTTTCTGCTTTTCTCCTCAACCTCAGCCCTGCAAACTAAGAGTACAAAATACCCAAAGACTTTCATTAATAGCAACTCCAAGTAGGCCTAAAGCTAAGCTTCCTGAAAGTGCAGTAATGCATCTGCTTTAGGATGAGTCACATCTAAATACAGAAATGGAGTTACAGCTGGCCTGGTAGTTACAGCTCTGCCTTTGAGTTACAGCTCTGCCTTTGAGTTACAGCTCTGCCTTTGAGTTACAGCTCTGCCTTTGAGTTACAGCTCTGCCTTTGAGTTACAGCTCTGCCTTTGAGTTACAGCTCTGCCTTTGAGTTCACACTGCTGTTCTGTGGTGGGAATTGTCAGGAGGCAGGAGTGGATTGGACATAGGGTTCTGGGTTCTCTGACAGGTGAGGTGAATTCTTCATAGAGGGTGCAGCCAGGCCCGGCCCGGCCCACTGACTACTATAGAACCTTCTACATTATCAGGCCAGCACAGTATTCAGGGTGTGGGCTGGTTCATTATTAGGCCCATTAATCAGGGTGTGGGCTGGGCTGGGCCTTCTCTGATGCCACGTTCAAAACAACTGGGAACTCGGAAATCTCAGACTTTTGACTTCAGTGTGCTCAAAACAACTGGGAACTGGGATAAAAATACAAGGTCAAATCATGACATTAGTGATCTTCAGGTCGGAAAGTCGGAGCTCTAGGAAGAGGCCAGAGTTCCCAGTTGTTTCGCACTGAGGTCGCACTGAGGTGGGAAGTCTGAGATTTCCGAGTTCCCAGTTCCCAGTTGTTTTGAGCGCACTGAAGTTGGAGATTTCCGAGTTCCCAGTTGTTTTGAACGCACTGAAGTTGGAGATTTCCGAGTTCCTAGTTGTTTTGAACGCACTGAAGTTGGAAGTCTGAGATTTTCCGAGTTCCCAATTCCCAGTTGTTTTGAACGCACTGAAGTTGGAGATTACAGATTTCCCAGTTGTTTTGAACGCTTTTTAATATCACAGGGTGTTGAGAGAAACTCTAGACACATCATCATCATGCCACTTCCTCAGTAAGTGATGAGAGAAACTCTACTAGGGTATGGTGTGTCTGAAATGTCCCCCTATCCCCTATAAAGTGCACTACTCAAACACCCTATTCCCTATACAGGGCACTACTTTAACCTGAAAAGGCCAAAAGTCGTGAAAACTATATAGAAAATAGGGTGTAGTCTAATTTCAGACGCACCGCAACACCACCCACCTCTCTCCTTCAGTTAGACACACATCCTCCACCACAACACCACCCACCTCTCTCCTTCAGTTAGACACACATCCTCCACCACAACACCACCCACCTCTCTCCTTCAGTTAGACACACATCCTCCACCACAACACCACCCATCTCTCTCCTTCAGTTAGACACACATCCTCCACCGCAACTCCACCCACCTCTCTCCTTCAGTTAGACACACATCCTCCACCACAACACCACCCACCTCTCTCCTTCAGTTAGACACACATCCTCCACCACAACACCACCCATCTCTCTCCTTCAGTTAGACACACATCCTCCACCGCAACTCCACCCACCTCTCTCCTTCAGTTAGACACACATCCTCCACCACAACACCACCCACCTCTCTCCTTCAGTTAGACACACATCCTCCACCACAACACCACCCACCTCTCTCCTTCAGTTAGACACACATCCTCCACCACAACACCACCCACCTCTCTCCTTCAGTTAGACACACATCCTCCACCACAACACCACCCATCTCTCTCCTTCAGTTAGACACACATCCTCCACCACAACACCACCCACCTCTCTCCTTCAGTTAGACACACATCCTCCACCACAACACCACCCACCTCTCTCCTTCAGTTAGACACACATCCTCCACCACAACACCACCCACCTCTCTCCTTCAGTTAGACACACATCCTCCACCACAACACCACCCACCTCTCTCCTTCAGTTAGACACACATCCTCCACCACAACACCACCCATCCCTCTCCTTCAGTTAGACACACATCCTCCACCACACCACCCACCTCTCTCCTTCAGTTACAGAGACAACAGATGGTGAGTCACTGTCTCAACAACACCATAAACACAATTATTTTTACTACAAACACACTCTCCCAGAACAATAATAATCATCACCATAAATACTGCCTGTCACGGAACCAAAAGGAATTTAATGACACTAGCTAATCAATATGGGTGCTGTAAATCAGGTGGGTGTCCAACGAGTAAACAGTCCAAGGGTTTAATAACAGACTATCAGAGATGAGCATGTCCATCGCTACATAGAGCTCCATGATTCATCTGTAGTGGAAAACTCATTAGAGAAACATTTCACACTCTGGTTTTTATGACAGCAGAGCCTGGAGCGAAGAGACAGCAACATGGACACTAACTGAGCTCACTCCCTCGCTCTCTTTCTGTCCCTCGCTCTGTTTCTCTCTCTCTCTCTCTCTCTCTGACAGAAACACCAACAGTGCCGTTAGATGGCTGAAGCTAAATATTTTTTTTTTACTTTTATTAAGCAGTGTTTAATTGAAAAAGTGTAATTAATGGATGTTTGAATATGTTGTGAATAATAGTTTGGTTTAAACACCTTAAGGGATTCTGTAAGAGTGTAAGTTTGAGTCTGCTTTTAACCCCTAAAACAAGTCATAGTATTAAAAGCTGTGTAGAAATACATGTGTTTACATAGCAGTGTCTCAGTGAGTAGAGATACTTATTCTGGTGGTAGGACAGTCTGTCAGTAGCTGGTAGAACTGGAAGGTTGGAGGTAGGGTAGGACAGTGAGTCAGTAGCAGGTAGAACTGGAAGGTTGGAAGCAGGGTAGGACAGTGAGTCAGTAGCTGGTAGAACTGGAAGGTTGGAGGTAGGGTAGGACAGTGAGTCAGTAGCAGGTTAAACTGGAAGGTTGGAGGTAGGGTAGGACAGTGAGTCAGTAGCTGGTAGAACTGGAAGGTTGGAGGTAGGGTAGGACAGTGAGTCACTAGCAGGTAGAACTGGAAGGTTGGAGGTAGGGCAGTGAGTCAGTAGCTGGTAGAACTGGAAGGTTGGAGGTAGGGTAGGACAGTGAGTCAGTAGCTGGTAGAACTGGAAGGTTGAAGGTAGGGTAGGACAGTGAGTCAGTAGCTGGTAGAACTGGAAAGTTGGAGGCAGGGTAGGACAGTGAGTCAGTAGCTGGTAGAACTGGAAGGTTGGAGGTAGGGTAGGACAGTGAGTCAGTAGCTGGTAGAACTGGAAGGTTGGAGGCAGGGTAGGACAGTGAGTCAGTAGCTGGTAGAACTGGAAGGTTGGAGGTAGGGTAGGACAGTGAGTCAGTAGCTGGTAGAACTGGAAGGTTGGAGGTAGGGTAGGACAGTGAGTCGGTAGCAGGTAGAACTGGAAGGTTGGAGGTAGGACAGTGAGTCAGTAGCTGGTAGAACTGGAAGGTTGGAGGTAGGGTAGGACAGTGAGTCAGTAGCTGGTAGAACTGGAAGGTTGGAGGTAGGGTAGGACAGTGAGTCAGTAGCAGGTAGAACTGGAAGGTTGGAGGTAGGGTAGGACAGTGAGTCAGTAGCTGGTAGAACTGGAAGATTGGAGGTAGGGTAGGACAGTGAGTCAGTAGCTGGTAGAACTGGAAGGTTGGAGGTAGGGTAGGACAGTGAGTCAGTAGCTGGTAGAACTGGAAGGTTGGAGGTAGGGTAGGACAGTGAGTCAGTAGCAGGTAGAACTGGAAGGTTGGAGGTAGGGTAGGACAGTGAGTCAGTAGCAGGTAGAACTGGAAGGTTGGAGGTAGGGTAGGACAGTGAGTCAGTAGCTGGTAGAACTGGAAGGTTGGAGGTAGGGTAGGACAGTGAGTCAGTAGCAGGTAGAACTGGAAGGTTGGAGGTAGGGTAGGACAGTGAGTCAGTAGCTGGTAGAACTGGAAGGTTGGAGGTAGGGTAGGACAGTGAGTCAGTAGCAGGTAGAACTGGAAGGTTGGAGGCAGGGTAGGACAGGATAGGGTGGGGTAGGATAGGATAGGGTAGGACTACTCACCTCCGAGTGTAGCTTGTGGTCAGAGCTGGTCTGGGAGTCTGGATCAGAAGGCAGCAGGCTGTACCATGTCGCTCTATCCTGGGCTCTGAGGGAGAAGCCTTCAAACCTCACCTCAGAGGCAAACTGTTAGACAGGACAGGAGACATAAATAGGACAACATCTTTAGTGAACTCAAAACTGGGTTTCCATCTTAGAACAGAGATTTCCCATGACAGCCTGTTCTCATTGTAATCAATGTACAGGGTCTGTTTTAGTGAGGTCCCGGGGGGATTTCCAAGAAATGTTAAGAAAGTTGAAGCTAATTTACTGCATTTCTATTCAATTTAAAAACTCTAAAATGCTATTTGGAGAACTGCAAAAGAAGCACAAATTATCCCAGCCATTATCACATTGGTTGTGCTGAGCGATTAGTGCATTTTGAAGTCGGTTCAGTTTCATTATTAAAAAATAATCACGATTTTCGATGTTGATTATTTTGTGTAACATGCACTATTCATTGTGGGGGTTGAATGCTAGAACACAGAATAAAATAATTATTACAAGTCCCATGATGCCCATTACTGATTATCACTTATTAACCATCATTTATTCACATGACTTTACTTTAATAAAATATTTAAGTTGTGTATATTACATTTGATTTATTTGATGACTATTATTTCATTCCAAGTCATCATCTCATCTCTATAGAGCTGCTGCCTATGCTGTCTGACAAAATCACTATTTTAGAAATTCGTCAAAGTAAAGGCATACTTTTATGACTGCTGAATACCAACTATCATTCACTTAGATCATGTATTTTCAGATAGAGATACCTTTGCAAAGCAACTGCTCTCTATCCCTCTCGATCGCGCGTTCTGTCTCTTCTCTCCCTCTCCATGTCTGCACCACACAGACCGGACAAGTAAGCATGCAATGGATTATGGTCATTGAAGTTAATTAACATGTTTTCTGCGCTAAATTATGTAGAATATTGGCCTGTTGGAAACTACAACTACCTACTACAGTGGGGGAAAAAAGTATTTAGTCAGCCACCAATTGTGCAAGTTCTCCCACTTAAAAAGATGAGAGAGGCCTGTAATTTTCATCATAGATACACGTCAACTATGACAGACAAATTGAGGAAAAAAAATCCAGAAAATCACATTGTAGGATTTTTAATGAATTTATTTGCTAATTATGGTGGAAAATAAGCATTTGGTCACCTACAAACAAGCAAGATTTCTGGCTCTCACAGACCTGTAACTTCTTCTTTAAGAGGCTCCTCTGTCCTCCACTCGTTACCTGTATTAATGGCACCTGTTTGAACTTGTTATCAGTATAAAAAGACACCTGTCCACAACCTCAAACAGTCACACTCCAAACTCCACTATGGCCAAGACCAACGAGCTGTCAAAGGACACCAGAAACAAAATTGTAGACCTGCACCAGGCTGGGAAGACTGAATCTGCAATAGGTAAGCAGCTTGGTTTGAAGAAATCAACTGTGGGAGCAATTATTAGGAAATGGAAGACATACAAGACCACTGATAATCTCCCTCGATCTGGGGCTCCACGCAAGATCTCACCCCGTGGGGTCAAAATGATCACAAGAACGGTGAGCAAAAATCCCAGAAACACACGGGGGGACCTAGTGAATGACCTGCAGAGAGCTGGGACCAAAGTAACAAAGCCTACCATCAGTAACACACTACGCCGCCAGGGACTCAAATCCTGCAGTGCGAGACGTGTCCCCCTGCTTCAGCCAGTACATGTCCAGGCCCATCTGAAGTTTGCTAGAGTGCATTTGGATGATCCAGAAGAGGATTGGGAGAATGTCATATGGTCAGATGAAACCAAAATATAACTTTTTGGTAAAAACTCAACTAGTCGTGTTTGGAGGACAAAGAATGCTGAGTTGCATCCAAAGAACACCATACCTACTGTGAAGCATGGGGGTGGAAACATCATGCTTTGGGGCTGTTTTTCTGCAAAGGGACCAGGACGACTGATCCGTGTAAAGGAAAGAATGAATGGGGCCATGTATCGTGAGATTTTGAGTGAAAACCTCCTTCCATCAGCAAGGGCATTGAAGATGAAACGTGGCTGGGTCTTTCAGCATGACAATGATCCCAAACACACCGCCCGGGCAACGAAGGAGTGGCTTCGTAAGAAGCATTTCAAGGTCCTGGAGTGGCCTAGCCAGTCTCCAGATCTCAACCCCATAGAAAATCTTTGGAGGGAGTTGAAAGTCTGTGTTGCCCAGCAACAGCCCCAAAACATCACTGCTCTAGAGGAGATCTGCATGGAGGAATGGGCCAAAATACCATAAACAGTGTGTGAAAACCTTGTGAAGACTTACAGAAAACATTTGACCTGTGTCATTGCCAACAAAGGGTATATAACAAAGTATTGAGAAACTTTTGTTATTGACCAAATACTTATTTTCCACCATAATTTGCAAATAAATTCATAAAAAATCCTACAATGTGATTTTCTGGATTTCTTTTTCTCATTTTGTCTGTCAAGGTTGACGTGTACCTATGATGAAAATTACATACTTTTTTCCCCCACTGTACATCGCACAGTTGGGCTTGATCTGATTTATCTCTAGAGAAACTGCGCATTGAGCTCAAAGAAAAAAAACGAACTAAATGGAATTCAAATAATTGAACAGATATTGGTCAATTAGTTGTTTAAAAACCTAAAAATAACAGACATTTCAGTTAAATCGCTCAGCACTAGTGGCTGTAGCTTCATTCATTCAGTCGATCTACAAACACATTCCATACTAGCGATACAATTAGCCGCTACACATTAATTCAGCACTGGGATTAAAAACTATAATTTAATACGTACAGAGGGATCTGTTAGCAGAAAAAGTAATTTATGAACAAAAGGTAAACAAATATATTTGCTTTACAGAACTTATTTTTCTTGCAGTTTTACAGCTAATTTCCTGCAATTCTACACATTTTGCCATGGGGTGGGGAGACATGTTTTCAGTTATACAAGCACATTTTCTGCAATTCTACACAGTTTGCCATGTTTACACGATATTTGAGTGAGAGTGACTAGAAAAATAAAATGGGGGGCTATCTGGAGGTCAGGGCCCCTGGGCACGTTCCATGCGTGTCCGGTGGGTAATTTGGCCATGATTACTACAAGTTTAGATAGCTGGCTAGACTAACTTTCCAATAAAAAAAATAGATACATTTTTAACTGACATGGGCTAATTGAGTTACTGTCAGTGAGTGACATTAAACATAACAAAAACTTCTGATGCACTACCAAGTTAAGAAATTGCACCTTGTGTATTCTACTATTCTAACTCTCAACAGTAAATTGAGACCCCGACTGAGTTCCTAAAAAATACATTAGTATTTTATTAATTAGAAAAAATTACCAAGGTCCAGACCTCAGTGTCCTCAAATGTAGCTACAGCACTGTCAATGTCCCAAAGGAATTAATTTATATTCCTATGGATAAACCTAATTACGTTGTAACAGTGACAGCTGAGCTGATGTCTTCTGAAGGATGTAAGGAAACAGTAAACTCTAGAGATGAAGTTGTGTTGTAAAGTTAGATCTAAATGTGTGATCTTGACTTGCAAAAATATACTCTAAATCAAAGAACATTAAAAAGGCTAAATTCACAACACGTCTATCAACTCTCACTGAGTACAAGCATTACCAAGACGGCGGATCTGCAATCATTAATGGCTGAGTCATAAGAGTATCGGTCGAGACTGGGGTTTGGGTTCAGGGCCGGGCACAGTTGGTTCTCATGCCCCCCTGTGTCCCAGTCAGGGGGCTGGGTGAGGGGATGAGTAACCCTGGCTGTTGTCCTGTGTGCCAGGGGGCTCTGGATTAGTCATTAGACCTTTAACCCCTGACCCCAGGCCCAGCAAGGCCTCCAGACAGAGCAGCCCTTCATTACAGCCCTAGGCTTGGCACACACTGAGCACCCTGCCCCACACATGACCCCTATACATTCTCCCAGGGCAGCATAATCTACAGTGCATTCGGAAAGTATTCAGACCCTTCCATTTTTCCACATTTTGTTATGGATTAAATTACATTTTTCCCCATCAATGTACACACAATACCCCATAATGACAAAGCTAAAACAAGTTTAGAAATGTTTGCACATTTATTAAATATAAAAAACAGAAATACCTTATTTACATAAGTATTCAGACCCTTGGCTATGAGACTCGAAATTGAGCTCAGGTGCATCCTGTTTCCATTGATCATCCTTGAGATGTTTCTACAACTTGATTGGAGTCCACCTGTGGTAAATTAAATTGATTGGACATGATATGGAAAGGCACACACCTGTCTATATAAGGTCTTCAGTTGACAGTGCATGTCAGAGCAAAAACCAAGCCACGAGGTCGAAGGAATTGTCCGTAGACAATTTCTGCAACATTGAAGGTCCCCAAGAACACTGTGGCCTCCATCCTTCTTAAATGGAATAAGTTTGGAACCACCAAGACTCTTCCTAGAGCTGGCTGCCCGGCCAAACTGAGAAATCAGGGGAGAAGGGCCTTGGTCAGGGAGGTGAACCCGATGGTCACTCTGACAGAGCTCCAGAGTTCCTCTGTGGAAGCCACTCCTCAGTAAAAGGCACATGACAGCCCGCTTGGAGTTTGCCAAAAGGCACCTAAAGGACTCTCAGACCATTAGAAACAAGATTCTCTGGTCTGATGAAACCAAGATTGAACTCTTTGGCCTGAATGCCAAGCGTCACGTCTGGAGGAAACTTGGCACCATCCCTACGGTGAAGCATGGTGGTGGCAGCATCATGCTGTGGGGGTGTATTTCATTGGCAGGGACTGGGAGACTAGTCAGGATCGAGGCAAAGATGAACAGAGCAAAGTGCAGAGAGATCCTTGATGAAAACCTACTCCAGAGCACTCAGTAACTCAGACTGGGGCAAAGGTTCAACTTCCAACAGGACAACGACCCTATGTACACAGCCAAGACAACGCAGGAGTGGCTTCGGGACAAGTCTCTGAATGTCCTTGAGTGGCCCAGCCAGAGCCCGGACTTGAATCTGATCGAACATCTCTGGAGAAACCTGAAAATAGCTGTGCAGCGACGATCCCCATCCAACTTGACAGAGCTTGAGAGGATTTGCAGAAAATAAATGGGAGAAACTCCCCAAATACAGGTATGCCAAGCTTGTAGCGTCATACCCAAGAAGACTCAAGGCGTAAGCATCTGCCACAGGTGCTGAGTAAACGGGTCTGAATACTGTCTAATGTGATATTTCTAGTTTTTTATATTTTTAATTAAATTTGCAAAAAAAAAATCTAAAAACCTGTTTTTTTGGCCTTGTCATTATGGGGTATTGTGGGGGTGTAGATATGATGAGGGTGAAAAAATCTATTTTCCATTTTAGAATAAGGCCTGTCAACATAACCAAATTTGGGAAAAAGTCAACGTTGTTCTGAATACGTTCCGAATACTCCCGCAATGCACTGTTACATCATTTGTAATATTTAATACACTACTTTCCTTTCACTTGCGTCATCACTATTTTAATATTTAAATAACACCTAACTTGCTTGTCCTCGCGTTTTTTTTTACTCTTTATTTTGCAGATTTACTAACATACGCCCCCTAGTTGTCAAGTATATGGATACAAACCAGTCAAAATAATTGTATAAACCATTCTGATAGGCTAAATAATCTTACCTTTTTCTCTCTCGATGAGAAACACCTCCTCTCCATAACTCCCTCTCATCAATACAGGTCATGATGCCACTGGTATCTACTATACTGGCTGACAGGTTGGAGGCTGGCTTCTGCCACCTGGAGGAACAAGTAAAGCAGGATAGGCATCAGTTTATCTATGTATTTAGCCATTCAACAACTCTATGCTGCCCTCTAGTGGTACAATGGAAATCACACAGGCACAACTGCTCTGCATCATTTTGTATAATTGTTCTTTGTCCTTACCCAGCTTGGTGTTCAGTCACTATGGTAATCTTGGCTGAGTGCCATGCCTGCATGTGTTTCAATGAGCCAATCACAGGGAGGAAGTCCTTCAGGTTAGGAGCCTCTTCAGCAACACCCAGAAATATCACATCTAGCAGAGCTTTTCCTGGAGGAGGAACAGTCAGCCATAAAACACCTAGTAAACTAACACAAATATCACATTTAGGAGAAACAGAGGGGAACAGCGTCAGCCATAAAACACCTAGTAAACTAACACAAATATCACATCTAGGAGAATCAGAGGGGAACAGTCAGCCATAAAACACCTAGTAAACTAACACAAATATCACATCTAGGAGAAACAGAGGCGAACAGTCAGCCATAAAACACATAGTAAACTAACACAAATATCACGTCTAGGAGAAATAGAGGGGAACAGTCAGCCATAAAACACCTAGTAAACTAACACAAATATCACATCTAGGAGGAACAGAGTCAGCCATAAAACACCTAGTAAACTAACACAAATATCACATCTAGGAGAAACAGAGGGGAACAGAGTCAGCCATAAAACACCTAGTAAACTAACACAAAACAAGCCCAGGCATGTAGGAAATATGGAGAACTCCTGGATAAGATACATTAATATAGAGAAATTTTTCACGGTCTGGCAGAATGAACCAAGGTGAATGGAGTGAGTTACCTGGAGGGGGAAGACTGTCTGATAAAAGGTGTAGTCCTTCTGCTGCCTCTTCATACAACCTGCAGTCATCACAAATCAGAACTTTATTAATCAACTATTCATTCATTCACCTCTGAACGGACAATACATTTCAATACAGCCAGGAAATGTGATATTCAGAAAGTTCTAAAACATCTCAAGAGGAAATAAGGTAAACTTTGTATGTTTGTTTAAAATACTGCTGAATGAGTATTATAGAGGAGCACAGAGCTGGGATATACAACAGAGGACAGATTTGGAAGGGAATTAAATCAGGGCTCTACGCTGACATTGTTTACAAGGAGCACATGTGCTCCTAAGTTGAAACATTTAGGAGCACAAAAATAAATGTAGGAGCACAATTAAGGTATTTGAGAAAAAGTGTTTTAATGATAAGAAATGACTAAAAGTTTTTGGGGTGTTCTATGCTAAATCAAGCACAATGTACCCTCAAATATTTGAGTCACCTAGGCGAGACAAAAATGTTCAGCTGCCCCTTTAAGGGCAGGAAGTTACCGTGGTAACGGTGACACTTGCATGTCTGACAGACTGATTCTCTGGTCTCTTCGTACCTATACATTTTACTCGCAGACGTGCTCATACTTCACTTTTGCAGTTCGCACACATCTATTTTTTGTTGCAAATGCATGTCTAATGGTCGCACTGTAGAGCCCAGTGAATATCACTCATACTCAGTCAGCTGTGGGTCAGGCTGGTCAGTCTTCTCCTCCTGGTCATCCAGAGTACTGAGACAGGCCTCCATAGTGTTGGGGCTTTCCTCCTGGTCATCATTCTTCTGACAACTACCCAGCTCCTCCCACTCTGCACTGCAGAACTACAAACAGAGACAGGAAGGATGACAGTCAGTCAATGTGGTGAAAGGTGATGACAGTCAGTCAATGTGGTGAAAGGTGATGACAGTCAGTCAATGTGATGAACGGTGATGACAGTCAGTCAATGTGGTGTAAGGTGATGACAGTCAGTCAATGTGGTGAAAGGTGATGACAGTCAGTCAATGTGGTGAATAGGTTTGAGGACCACCGCAAAAAAAAAAAAACAGAAGACTGTGATGAATGTGTCATGTATAACTGATGAAATGGTTTGATTGACCCACCCCCCCCCCCCCCCCCCCCCCCCATAAAAAATAAGTGGTTGTTCCACTGGCTATCATAAGTTGAATGCACCAATTTGTAAGTCGCTCTGGATAAGAGCATCTGCTAAATGATGTAAATGTACATTTTGTGTTCAACAGTAGAAGCTGCATGCGGTGCAGGACATGGGCAGACATCTCCAGTGTAAACACAAAGAAGGTCAGAGTAGGGTCAGAAAGACACCCCTGACTAATACAAGACATTCCTTGACATGACACATACCTGAGATGTCCCATGACATGCCTGGACAGCAAAATACCACCTCTGTGAGGCAGGACCACCACTCAGAGAGCAGGCTTAGGAGGCAGATGAGAAAGATGATGGAATCACATTTAGCTAATGTTACTTTCCCCTTGAAAAAATGTAAAAGCAGGTAGACATATTGCAATAGTTTCTGCAAGCAAGACACCTGACACACACACACACACACACACACACACACACACACACACACACACACACACACACACACAAACAATGCATTGGCTTACCTGGAAACAGAGAAACCCTCCTTGTTGAATTACAACTGGAGATATTCCCCAGTTTATCATACATCTGTTTGGCAGCCTCCAATGCTGTAAAATAAACGATTACAATAATTCAAGAAGTTATGATTTGCATTTACAGAAACCTCACCATTGCTCATAGTATGTTTATCAGCATCTCTACTATAGAAGGCTCTGCTGCTCCATACTACAGTTGCTAGTTACTGTAGCTTGCAAAACACGAAATCCGAGTCCGCTACAAAGGTATCGTTAACGTACCCTTCGCGCATTTATCCTCTTCTTGGTTAAAAGAAACAACTAACACGTACCGATCCATTCCTCTGAATTACTACCATCAGTTTTCAGTATAAATGTAAATATAAAAGACTTTTTTTTTTCGTATTGTCAAATTTATTTCCTCGCGCTCTCTCTTGAAACGGAAGTTGTCGTCTAAAGTTCTGGGGACGTCAAGGCGCTACTTCAAAATACAACCGGCGGCAAAAATGCATTTTAATGACCATGAGCGATATTATCAAAACCAGATATTATTTGTCATATTCTTTGATGGTTTCTCCTTAAAATATACCAATATCATCTGTTACATATTAGTAACTGAAAATGTATTAGTTATGCATTCAGGATTTCAGGAACAGATCTACAATTTGCACCCAGGAACTGAGTTTTCATCCATGTTTCGACTCAATACAACGCTGCACCATCTGTTCTCGTTGGGGGTCAATCGGGAATGATGTGCTTGTAATTCATGTAATATGTCCAGTTTTACTAAATCTGCCCAGGTAACACTTTACTTTTATACATAACGTGTGATTATTTTGTATTTTGAACTAGCATTAAATGTGTAAATGTCATGGTAAATTATATGCAAAACTCATCGCTGACATATGGTACATGTCGCTAACGTTAGCTAGCTAGCTATCCGTAATCTGTCCAGCTAGCTAATCTCTTTATTAAATCGTAGTCCTAAATTGCAGTTTGATCTTTTCTTGCAATTATTTATATTATTAATTTAATCCTTGTGCCCCAGTCAACCTTCAGCTATATGTTTGTGGCTTGAGAGCTGACAACTGTGTGCTGATGTGGGATGTTGTGCTACTACTGTGTCTGAAACTCTGAATTGACGTGATCTCTCTCTTCCCCTTTATTCAGCAATGGGCTACCTTTGCCAGGTCGTGGTACCTGATAGACGCTCGGATGCAGCCTCCAGGGAAGATTGCCACTATGTGTGCAGTCAGGCTACAGGGGAAACACAAACCGATCTACCATGCACTGAGTGAGTAGACAGCTAGCAACATGCCCATTTAGAAATGGACTAATGATGTGTGTTTTCCTGAATGTGTGCGACTGTGCAATACAGTCCGCAATTGATTTGAGGCTTTAATTTGATGCTTCCTTCACAGCCAGCCGGAGGGGATGGCTGCCGTTTTACAGGCTCCTAACCAATTGTACTATTTTGTGTGGTTTTCTCGCATTGTTTGTAACTTATTTTCTACATAATGTTGCTGCTACTGTCTCTTATGACCGAAAAGAGCTTCTGGATATGAGAACAGCGATTACTCACCTCGAAATGGACTAAGATTTTTTCTTCAATGAGTCCGATGCTAAGGATGTACTGTTTTTCTGAGACCAGGCCCAAATCCCTGTCATTCGCGTGAAGAAAAGACTAAGGTACAGGGGGCGGAGATTGTGGGTGCCTTGTGAGAATTAGACGGCGAGTGGGTAACCCGCCTCTACCATCCGTTCTATTGGCCAACGTGCAATCACTGGAGAATAAACTGGATGAGCTCTGTTCGAAACTATCCTACCAACGGGACATTAAAAACTAATATCTTATGTTTCACCGAGTCATGGCTGAACGATGACGCGGATAATATACAATTGGCTGGGTTTTCCGTGCATCGGCAGGACAGAACAGCTATGTCCGGTAAGACCCTCGGGTGGTGGTGTGTGCGCCTATTTGTCAATAACAGCTGGTGCGTGATTTCTAATATTAAGGAAGTCTCTAGGTATTGCTCGCCTGAGCTAGAGTACCTCATGATAAGCTGTAGACTACACTATCTACCAAGAGAGTTTTCCTCTATATTTTTCATAGCCGTCTATTTACCACCACAAACCGATGCTGGCACTAAGACCACACTCAACGAGCTGTATAAGGCCATAAGCAAACAAGAAAAGGCTCATCCAGAAGTGGCACTCCTAGTGGCCGGGGACTTTAATGCAGGCCAATTTTAAATCTGTTTTACCTCATTTCTACCAGCATGTCACATGTGCAACCTTTACTCCACACATGGAGACACATACAATGCTCTCCCTCGCCCTCCATTTGGCAAATCTGACCATAATTCTGTCCTCCTGATTCCTGCTTACAAGTAAAAACTAAAGCAGGAAGTACCAGTGACTCGCTCAATACGGAAGTGGTCAGATGACGCGGATGCTACGCTACAGGACTGTTTTGCTAGCACAGACTGGAATATGTTCCGGGATTCATCCAATGGCATTGAGGAGTACACCACATCAGTCACTGGCTTCATCAATAAGTGCATCGAAGACGTCATCCCCACAGTGACCGTATGTACATATCCCAACCAGAAGCCATGGATTACAGGCAACATCCACACCGAGCTAAAGGGTAGAGCTGCCGGTTTCAAGGAGTGTGACACTAATACGGACGCTTATAAGAAATCCCGCTATGCATTCAGACGAACCATCAAACAGGCAAAGCGTCAATACAGGACTGCGATTGAATCCTACTACACCGGCTCTGACGCGCGTCGGATTTGGCAGGGCTTACAAACTATTAGAGACTACAAAGGGAAACCCAGCCATGAGCTGCCCAGTGACGCGAGCCTACCAGACGGGCTAAATGCCTTTTATGCCCCTTGTTTTTACACTGCTGCTACTCTCTGTTAATTATCTATGCATAGTCACTTTACCCCTACGTACATGTACAAATGACCTCGACTAACCTGTACCCCCGCACATTGACTCGGTACCGGTACCCCTGTACATAGCCTCGTTATTGTTATTTTATTGTGTAACTTTATTTTATGTTTTACTTTATTTTATTTAGTAAATAATTATTGAACTGCATTGTAGGTTAAGGGCTTGTAAGTAAGCATCTCACGGTAAGGTCTACACTTGTGTTCGGCGCATGTGACAAATAAAATTGGATTTGATTTTAATTTGAGCAAGGACATATTCTGAGAGGTTTTTTTTGCAGCCATAACAATGACCACATGGTGGCGCTAAAGGATCACTATGAAACCAATAGACCCCAACTATGCACATAACCAGAAGGCTCAGATAGAACCCACCACTTATTTTTCATCAACTGCCTTCAGCCTTCTTTCAAAACCTGTGGCTCTTCACACTATTTGAGTTTGATTTGACTGTGAGGTGAATGCCTCTTCACCTGATGTATAGGTACATGTGTGTGGACCCTGAGGGATAGAGAAACCTGTCCATTACTTTCCCCTCATCCCTGGAGCTGTGCTCTGTTAACTGCTGGAATGCTGGAGAGTGAAGGGGGCTTATTGTTTGACCTATTCTATGAACCTGTTTGACCTATTCTATGATGCTGTTTGACCTATTCTATTAAATGTGATCTGCTCGTTGTTGAACGACCATTCAAACTAAGAAGGGTTTACTTTTGGTGTGTTATACGCTACCAGTCAAAAGTTTTAAATGCTTCACAGTGTGCAAAGCTGTCATCAAGGCAAAGGGTAGCTATTTGAAGAATCTCAAATATAACATATCTTTTTTGATTTGTTGAACACTTTTTTTGGTTACTACATGATTCCATATGTGTTATTGCATATATTTGATGTCTTCACTATTATTCTACAATGTAGAAAATAGTAAAAAATAAAGAAACTTTTGACTGGTAGTGTACATTAATCCTCCCTTTTCCAATTGTAGTGACTCATCTATTTAGTTCCTAGCAGTGCACTGATCCTCCTCCCTACATTACAATAAACCTAGCTTTTATTTACACCTGCCTTTTCATTTAAGTTATACATGTTCCCTTTCCCAAAGTGTATATCTGCTTTAGTAGAGAGTGATGGAGAGGTGTTAGAAAGTCATCTATCATTCTCTCCATATCTAATTCAGAAACCACTTGGTGGCATTTGAATTATGAATCTTTTCCTGCATTCCTTGATAATCTTTTAAAAGGAGCTAAGAACATCCATTGTAACGTGTCAGCAAAATGTGTTTCTATAAAGTTTGTGATCTTTATAATGAGCATGTGTCTCTGTGTTCCTCAGGTGATGTTGGAGATCATGTAGTAGTCATGAACACCAGACACATAGCCTTCTCTGGGAACAAATGGGAACAGAAGGTCTATTCCTCCCACACACAGTAAGGTCTTGATCAGACTGTCTGTCTGTTACACGTGGAATAACCAGTGAACATAAAGGAGTGTTATTCTGTACCTGTGTTTACTCATCAGTCAAGAAGAACTTCATTGAAACATGGAGCATGTGAACTGATCTGTGTAATGAGTGATGTGGTTGACTAAGCATATGTGTGTAAAGTTGATTGTCATACCAAAGTGTGTCTTCCTCGAAATTCAGCTTTGTTTCTTTCCCAAAGGTTTCCAGGTGGATTTAAACAAGTCACAGCCACCCAGCTACATTTGAAAGACCCCAAAGCGGTAAGTATTTTGAGTCAGTTTATTAGGTACACCCATCTAGTACCGAGTCGGACTGCCCTTTGCCTCCAGAACGGCTGGAATTCTTCGGGAAAGTTCCACAGGGATGTTGGTCCATGCTGACGTGATGGCATCACGCAGTTGCTGCAGATTGGACGGCGGTACACCACAACCACCAGCTTGTACCTTTGACACCAGGCAGGATGGGTCCATGGACTCATGCAGCTTACGCCAAATCCTGACTCTGCCATCAGCATGACGCATCAGGAACTAGGATTTGTCAGACCAGGGAATGTTTTTCCACTCCTCAATTGTCCAGTGTTTGTGATCGTGTGACTACTGGAACCTCTGCTTCTTGTTCTAAGCTGATAGGAGTGGAACCCGGTGTGGTCGTCTGCTACAATAGTCAATGACAAGGATTGACGAGTTGTGCATTCCGAAATGCTGTTCTGCACACCACTGTTGTACTTTGCCGTTGTCTGTTTGTGGCCTGCCTGTTAGCTTGCACAATTCTTGCCATTCTCCTTCGACCTCTCTCATCAACGAGCTGTTTTCGCCCACAGGACTGCCACTGACTGGATGTTTTTTGTTTGTCGCACCATTTCTCAGTAAGCTCTAGACACTGTCGTGAGTGAAAAGCCCAGGAGGGCGGATGTTTCTGAGATACTGGATCCGACGTGCCTGGCACCGACAATCATACCACGCTCAAAGTCGCTTAGGTCACTCGTTTTGCCCATTCTGACGTTCAGTCGAACAGTAACTGAATGACTCGATGCCTGTCTGCCTGCTTTATATAGCAAGCCATGGCCTCGTGAACAGGGTGGTGTACCTAATAAACTGGCTGGTGAGTTAGCTATTGTTTATTTGTGTGCTACTGCAGTCTGTTTGGAAACACTGAATAAACACTGTCCTCTCAAGTGTACCTATACAGTAACTTCAGCCTTTAAAGTTTCATTCCTAGGCCTAGCTAAAGCTGCATTTCATAATTCATCAAAATGTCAGAATTGCATGGCATTCAGGTAGCAGTTGCATTTTGCATCGCATTTATGTATTGATTTTTTATTTGATGAAATATGAGCTGTCCCACAGTTGTGTGACGTGTTTTGTCTATAAACGTTACAAATGGCCCGCTGGGAAAGAATGAATTATGGTGTATTATTACTCTGTCCTTGTAAGTCTCCCATCCCTCCCATTCCTCTGGTTCCAGAGAGGTAGTGTTCTGCTCCAGAATCATCAGGGAGGATTTTAGAAGTGTTGTTTTCAGACAGACACACTTGTGTATTATCACAGACACAGCATCTGTGCTGGTACAGGTCTGTCAGACTATTACACCTTTAGGAGAATGTCTACTGGAATCTGGGGAAAGGCCTAGCTGGGTGTGCAGGAAGATAAAGGAGCAGCAGCAGAGCTTATTGCAACCCAGAGATTAACTTTTCAAGGAATAAACTAAACCCATTTCAGCTTGAATTTGGCTATATGTTTTCTCTCCTCTGCCTTAGAGCACATGGCATTGCTCTTATTTAGATGGATGGTCTTAATATTGTTTTAGTGTATACTTTTGTTTGTGTTGCCTCAAATACATGAATGTTTCAACAGTGCCGTCCCAAGTGGTTAACTGACGAAATGTACCTATAGCTAGGCCCACATGTACATTAATTAAATGTACCTTAAGCTAAGCTTAGTGATGAGCTTTGTGGGCACTATGGTATTGAATGCTGAGCTGTAGTCAATGAACAGCATTCTCACATAGGTGTTCCTTTTGTCCAGGTGGGAAAGGGCAGTGTGGAGTGTGGATTGCATCATCTGTGGATCTGTTGGGGGGGTATGTAAATTGGAGTGGGTCTAGGGTTTCCAGGATGATGGTGGTGTTGTGAGCCATGACCAGCCTTTCAAAGCACTTTATGGCTACCGACGTGAGTGCTACAGGGCGGTAGTCATTTAGGCAGGTTACCTTCGCTTTCTTGGGCACAGGGACTATGGTGGTCTGCTTGAAACATGTAGGTATTACAGACTCAGTCAGGGAGAGGTTGAAAATGTCAGTGAAGACACTTGCCAGTTGGTCCGCGCATGCTCTGAGTACACATCCTGGTAATCCGTATGGCCCCGCGGCCTTGTGAATGTTGACCTGTTTAAAGGTCTTGCTCACATCGGCTATGGAGAGTGTAATCACACAGTCGTCCGGAACAGCTGGTGCTCTCATGCATGCTTCAGTGTTGCTTGCCTCGAAGCGAGCATAAAAGGCATTTAGCCCGTCTGGTATGCTCGCATCACTGGGCAGCTCGTGGCTGGGTTTCCCTTTGTAGGCCGTTATAGTTTGTAAATCCTGCCACATCCGACGCGCATCAGAACGGGTGTAGTAGTATTCAATCTTAGTCCTGTATTGACGCTTTGCCTGTTTGATGGTTCATCTGAGGGCATAGCGGGATTTCTTATAAGCGTCCGGATTAGTGTCCTGCTTAGCTTAACAGGACAATGACCCAAAACACACCTCCAGGCTGTGTAAAGGCTATTTGACCAACAAGGAGAGTGATGGAGTCCTGCATCAGATGACCTGGCCTCCACAATCACCCGACCTCAACCCAATTGAGATGGTTTGGGATGGGTTGGACCGCAGAGTGAAGGAAAAGCAGCCAACAAGTGCTCAGCATATGTGAGAACTCCTTCAAGACTGTTGGAAAAGCATTCCTCTTGAAGCTGGTTGAGAGAATGCCAAGAGTGTGCAAAGCTGTCATCAAGGCAATGGGTGGCTATTTGAAGAATTTGTTTAACACTTTTTTGGTTTCTACATGATTCCATACAGTGGGGGGAAAAAGTATTTAGTCAGCCACCAATTGTGCAAGTTCTCCCACTTAAAAAGATGAGAGGCCTGTAATTTTCATCATAGGTACACGTCAACTATGACAGACAAAATGAGAAAAGAAAATCCAGAAAATCACATTGTAGGATTTTTAATGAATTTATTTGCAAATTATGGTGGAAAATAAGTATTTGGTCAATAACAAAAGTTTCTCAATATTTTGTTATATACCCTTTGTTGGCAATGACACAGGTCAAACGTTTTCTGTAAGTCTTCACAAGGTTTTCACACACTGTTGCTGGTATTTTGGCCCATTCCTCCATGCAGATCTCCTCTAGAGCAGTGATGTTTTGGGGCTGTCGCTGGGCAACACGGACTTTCAACTCCCTCCAAAGATTTTCTATGGGGTTGAGATCTGGAGACTGGCTAGGCCACTCCAGGACCTTGAAATCCTTCTTACGAAGCCACTCCTTCGTTGCCCAGGCAGTGTGTTTGGGATCATTGTCATGCTGAAAGACCCAGCCACGTTTCATCTTCAATGCCCTTGCTGATGGAAGGAAGTTTTCACTCAAAATCTCACGATACATGGCCCCATTCATTCTTTCCTTTACACGGATCAGTCGTCCTGGTCCCTTTGCAGAAAAACAGCCCCAAAGCATGATGTTTCCACCCCCATGCTTCACAGTAGGTATGGTGTTCTTTGGATGCAACTCAGCATTCTTTGTCCTCCAAACACGACGAGTTGAGTTTTTACCAAAAAGTTATATTTAGGTTTCATCTGACCATATGACATTCTCCCAATCCTCTTCTGGATCATCCAAATGCACTCTAGCAAACTTCAGACGGGCCTGGACATGTACTGGCTTAAGCAGGGGGACACGTCTGGCACTGCAGGATTTGAGTCCCTGGCGGCGTAGTGTGTTACTGATGGTAGGCTTTGTTACTTTGGTCTCAGCTCTCTGCAGGTCATTCACTAGGTCCCCCCGTGTGGTTCTGGGATTTTTGCTCACCGTTCTTGTGATCATTTTGACCCCACGGGGTGAGATCTTGCGTGGAGCCCCAGATCGAGGGAGATTATCAGTGGTCTTGTATGTATGTATGTATGTATGTAATTTGCAAATAAATTCATTAAAAATCCTACAATGTGATTTTCTGGAGAAAAAAAATCTCAATTTGTCTGTCATAGTTGACGTGTATCTATGATGAAAATTACAGGCCTCTCTCATCTTTTTAAGTGGGAGAACTTGCACAATTGGTGGCTGACTAAATACTTTTTTTCCCCCACTGTATGTGTTATTTCATAGTTTGATGTCTTCACTATTATTCTACAATGTAGAAAATTGTCCAAATAAAGAAAAACCCTTGAATGAGTAGGTGTGTCCAAACTTTTGACTGGTACTGTACATTAATCCTCCCTTTTCCAATTGTAGTGACTCATCTATTTAGTTCCTAGCAGTGCACTGATCCTCCTCCCTACATTACAATAAACCTAGCTTTTATTTACATCTGCCTTTTCATTTAAGTGATACATGTTCCCTTTCCGTAAGTCTATCTCCCAAAGTTTAAACATGAGGGATAGTGTGTGAGGGGCATCCCCCTCAGTGATGGCATAGCAGGAAGGGAGAACAGAACAGCCACATGTTCTCCTACCCCAGCCCAGAGAACAGAACAGCCGCATGTTATCCTATCCTAGCCCTGCCCAGAGAACAGAACAGCCACATGTTATCCTACCCCAGCCCAGAGAACAGAACAACCACATGTTCTCCTACCCCAGCCCAGAGAACAGAACAGCCACATGTTATCCTATCCTAGCCCTGCCCAGAGACCAGAACAGCCACATGTTATCCTACCCCAGTTCCATACTGTATAGCTGAATGGCCCAGGCCAGAGCTCCAAGGCCTGGCCGACTGCCTGCCTGCCTCTCCCCAGTTCTGGCCTGCAGCCTCTCAACCCTCATCGCCCCCCTAGCCCTCTCCAAACCTCCCCAGGCCTCCGCTCTCCCCCAGCCCACCTCTCCCTCTCCCCAACTGTCCTCATCCCTCCCCTCAGCGCTCCTCCCCAGCCCTGGCCAGTTGCATCTCCCTTCCCCTCCTCTCCCCCCCCCCCATTCCTCTCCAGCCCTCCTCAGGCTTCTCTAGCACATTAAACCTCCATTAATGAGATGGATGCGTGTCTCTAGCTGAGTTATTCCAGTGGTGGGAGAATCTATCAGAGGTAATTGTGGGTAATGATCACGTTGGGGTGACATCCACCTTCTGTAGCCGTGGTAACGAATGGTGTCCCTATACAACACACATCCATCATCCACACACCACGGTCGTCATTTAACAGGAATAGGACTGATTAATTTTCACAGGGAATAGATATGTATGAAGGGATTCAGCTAGAAATGGTAGGTGAGAGAAAAAGTCAAATATTAAGAGATTTTCACTTCTCTGTGACATTTTAGGTTTTTCTTCCCCTCACGTGGTATTCTTATTGCAGAGGTTGGATTTGAGTGGTGGACGGTTATGTAGGAATAACATGTCATTTTTCTGGTCGGTTTGCCAACGGGAGTAGGGAGGGGAGGAACATGGAAAGACTGGAGAAGGAAACTGGGGAATAGAGGAGGGGTTGTGGCACATTCAGGGTATCAGTTGAAGGATAACACAATTTCTTTCTAAATTCTTTGCTACCAGTTGGCGATCGTGACACATAGCTCCAAGGAACACTGAATATGTTTCACACCACAGGGTGAGGGAGGGATACGAGGAATAAAACCAGACTGTTTAGATGAGGTTAGGAGAATATTAAAGAGGTCTATAAGGTTGTATACAGGGGAGACTGCTCAGTACTCTTTACTATCTACATTAACAAGCAGAGGGTAAGGTGGAGATATTACCATATTGTTTAAACCTAGCACATTAAGAAAGCTAAACTTAGATATATGTTTTTGGTTGTTGGTTCAATTAGACCATGCCCATTTCAAGTATATATTTCTAAAAACAAATTAGGGAAGTTAGCTGGCTAACTCATTGATCTTGCTTTGTAGTATACCCCCCTGGACCTAACAGGACCTCCACTAGAGACATTTTTAGTCATTTAGCAGATGCTCTTATCCAGAGCGACTTACAGGAGCAATTAGGGTTAAGTGCCTTGCTCAAGGACATATCAACAGATGTTTTACCTAGTCGGCTCAGGGATTAGAACCAGCGACCTTTCGGTTACTGGCACAACGCTCTTAACCACTAAGCTACCTGCCGACATATTAAAGATGGCTCAATGATGGACCTCGACCTTGCTCCTCTCTAGAGCTGTAAACATGACAACCCTGATCCAACTGTCTTACATCAAACGCCTGTCTGTGTTAAGGGTGTCCCAAATAGCACCCTATTCCCTATATAGTGCACTAGGGTGCCATTTGGGACACAACCTAAGTAGCCTATCCAAGCGATGTATCTCCTTCTTCTTCTTCTTCTTCATCATCAGATAGTAAAGCTGGCAGTATATGGGATGCTGCCTAGGAACCTCTCCAGAAGGACCATGATGCAACGGCTACACCTCTTCCCTGAAGATGTAAGACTTGTCTTTAAGACTATGACATCTAATATTGTGTGAAAATGAAACAGGACGTTTTAGTAAAATAATGATGCCACACACCACCTCTTCCCTGAAGATAAAATATCTGCTCTTTATTCCCCTGTTGTGGAGGGAATATGGCTGACATGTTGATTGATTGATTGAATTTGCTTAATAATTTTAAATGACTACATATACAGCCAAGAACAAGCAGAACAGACATAGAAACATCAATGATAACACAAGTCTGACATGTTTCCATTGTGGTAAAGCATTTAGAAAAGACTAGTCGCAGTCTAGCTTCTATGCCCATAATACGGTATATAAATGTAAAAGTCTTATTTTCCATTGACCTACACCTCTCCAACCCAGGTGTGTGTTCCCTCTCTGAGAAGTGAAGACACCTACAAACCCAAGACTGTGTTCCTGTCCCTGGCTATAGCCTAGGTGTCATACAGATCCAGATCTAAGACTGTGTCCCTGTCCCTGGCTATAGCCTAGGTGTCATACAGATCCAGATCTAAGACTGTGTCCCTGTCCCTGGCTATAGCCTAGGTGTCATACAGATCCAGATCTAAGACTGTGTCCCTGTCCCTGGCTATAGCCTAGGTGTCATACAGATCCAGATCTAAGACTGTGTCCCTGTCCCTGGCTATAGCCTAGGTGTCATACAGATCCAGATCTAAGACTGTGTTCCTGTCCCTGGCTATAGCCTAGGTGTCATACGGATCCAGATCTAAGACTGTGTCCCTGTCCCTGGCTATAGCCTAGGTGTCATACAGATCCAGATCTAAGACTGTGTCCCTGTCCCTGGCTATAGCCTAGGTGTCATACAGATCCAGATCTAAGACTGTTCCTGTCCCTGGCTATAGCCGTGATGCCATACAGATCCATGAAATGGCTTTGTTGTATGTAATTGTATGGTAGGATCTTCCTGAGGACATCCTTATGAACCTGACAGAGGAGCTGCCTCAGCCCAGAGAGATCCCTCGCAGACTGAATGAGTACAGCCAGGAGGAACGAGAAGCCTTCCCCACTCTATGGACCCCGTGAGTACCCTCTCCTCCCAGTCTTCCTCCATGGACGCATACATACACACACACACACACACACACACACACACACATCTTCTCTCTCACATCTTCACACACACCATCCTTAATCACACCCACACATCCTCACACACACAGCTCTCTCCAGCCCGCCCTGCGCTGCGCTGAATCTCTAGCTGATTTAGAACAGCCAGGTTTATAGAGGAACAGACCCATTTAGAACAGCCAGGTTTATAGAGGAACAGACACATGTAGAACAGCCTGGTTTATAGAGGAACAGACACATTTAGAACAGCCAGGTTTATAGAGGAACAGACACATTTAGAACAGCCAGGTTTATAGAGGAACAGACCCATTTAGAACAGCCAGGTTTATAGAGGAACAGACACATTTAGAACAGCCTGGTTTATAGAGGAACAGACACATTTAGAACAGCCAGGTTTATAGAGGAACAGACACATACCATGGTTATATTAGACTGCTGTGTTCCTTCGGCCATGGCACTGATCCATTGTTCTTCAGTCCACAGCCTGCTGTTCATATCAGCTGTGACGTAGTTAAATGCCTTATGATACTGCTCTCTACAAGAGTGGCCAAATCTTTAGGCATTTTATGACCTAGATGCTACGCTAGCTTTAGCTTACCACAAACATTCAAATAACTAGTAGAAACCCAAAAATAATTATTTAGTAAAGAACGGGCTAAAACATTTTTGCGTGTGAAACCTACTTCTGTTATTGCCTGTAAGTAAGGATGGAAACAGTATAGCACCGTATTCCTGTGGTCTTTATTGATGTGAGAAACGGGTACTTGTTACCGGGCTGACAAATGATTCCATTTTGATAAAGAGTATGACGTGTTGAAACGTGATCGGTCATGTTCCTATAGAGTTAAGTAAGTGGATGGCTCAATGAGGGGAAATGGGTTAGTCTGGGCCAGGGACTCACCTCTCATTAACACACACACACACATACATTAGGCCCTACCGATGCTTAAACTGCTGATTGCAACCGAAACCAAATGCTGTGGAGTGGGTGGGTGGGTGAAGATTCAAGATGGAACCCCGATGGAGAAAAACTAGAGAGGAGTTATTGATGTTTCTCTCAAGATTGACTGTGAACCTCACTTTTTCAAACACTGATACCCACATGTGTTAATGCACTTAAGATCTTTCATTTAAAGTCATATTGAATAATAGAGAAGTGCTCTCTAAGCGAATTCATAATAACTTTTTTTGACGGCAGTAATTCATCCCAATGAGCAGTGGAACTGAGGAAGGTTTTGGAGCAGTATGTTTATATGTGTTCTCACTCTAATAACCACAGCAGTGATTGGTCTGGACGACCCTACGGAGCGTTTCATTAAAACATATCATACAGGAAGTAGACACTGACGTGATAATGAGACAGCCACTACATTACTTCCTGTCTGTAATTAAAGAACAGGAAATGGGAGTTTTCAATCTGACAGAAAACTGTGAAAGTCCAGAATTACGTGACATAATTATTGTAGTGTAATGTTTGGCTGACTGGGTGGGGAGAAGGATGCTGCTGCTACTGAGGCTTAGGGCAATTCTGTGTCTGAGTTTAATTCTGATCACGCATACTCAAATTGACTGCAGCTATAACTCGCTTGGAATAACACAGGAGTGAGAAATAAAGCTTGGCAGTAAAAGTGACCTGGTGTACTGTTTCTAGGGTGTTAACTAAGAAATTTGAGGAAGCTAAATTAGGTATAACATTGGATGGTCAATTATCAAGGTCAAGTCATATTGACAAAGTTGTTGTGAAGATGGGGAGGGGTATGTCTGTTTATAAAAATATGTTCTGCATTTTTGACACAAATCAACTGTACTAGTTGTTAAGGCTCTGGTCGTGTCCCATCATGATTACTGTCCGGTAATATGGTCAAGTGCAGCAAAGAAAGACCTAGCAAAGCTGCAGCTGGCTCAAAACAGAGCAGCACGCCTTGCCCTTAACTGCACATACATAACTAACATCATGCCAGTCTTTCCTGGTTGAGGGTTGACCAGAGATGAACTGCTTCTCTTCTAGTTTTCATGAGAAATATTACTGTGATGAATAATCCAGATTGTCTGCATAATCAAATAACATTTAGCTCAGACACCCATACATATTCCAGAAGACATGCCACCAGGGTTCTCTTCATGATCGCATGGAACTCCCTTCCATCTCCAATTACTCAAGCAAACAGCAAAATTACCTTTAGAAAACATCTCATGGAACGGTGGGGACTGTGGAGTGTTTATAGGGTGTTAACTGGTGTAGTGTGTAGTGGTTATAGGGCGTTAACTGGTGTAGTGGTTATAGGGCGTTAACTGGTGTAGTGGTTATAGGGCGTTAACTGGAGGAGACTGAGAACTGAGTCGTTAGCGGTGGTGTCTGTGTGTGAGAATAGAGGAGCGTTCGGCCGCCAGCAGTGAGGAGAGAAATCACTCTTCTAGTTGGTTTCCACAGCAGGAGAGGACAATAAAACTATAAAAATAACGACAACTGTACTTAGTCCTAGTTCTATAGCTAGGATAGCATCATGCTGTTGATGTCCTATAGCTAGGATAGCATCATGCTGTTGATGTTCTATAGCTAGGATAGCATCATGCTGTTGATGTCCTATAGCTAGGATAGCATCATGCTGTTGATGTTCTATAGCTACGATAGCATCATGCTGTTGATGTTCTATAGCTAGGATAGCATCATGCTGTTGATGTTCTATAGCTAGATTAGCATCATGCTGTTGATGTTCTATAGCTAGGATAGCATCATGCTGTTGATGTTCTATAGCTAGGATAGCATCATGCTGTTGATGTCCTATAGCTAGGATAGCATCATGCTGTTGATGTCTTATAGCTAGGATAGTATCATGCTGTTGATGTTCTATAGCTAGGATAGCATCATGCTGTTGATGTTCTTGTTCTATAGCTAGGATAGCATCATGCTGTTGATGTTCTGGTTCTATAGCTAGGATAGCATCATGCTGTTGATGTTCTAGTTCTATAGCTAGGATAGCATCATGCTGTTGATGTCTTATAGCTAGGATAGCATCATGCTGTTGACATTCTAGTTCTATAGCTAGGATAGCATCATGCTGTTGATGTTCTAGTTCTATAGCTAGGATAGCATCATGCTGTTGATGTCTTATAGCTAGGATAGCATCATGCTGTTGACATTCTAGTTCTATAGCTAGGATAGCATCATGCTGTTGATGTTCTAGTTCTATAGCTAGGATAGCATCATGCTGTTGATGTCTTATAGCTAGGATAGCATCATGCTGTTGATGTCTTATAGCTAGGATAGCATCATGCTGTTGACATTCTAGTTCTATAGCTAGGATAGCATCATGCTGTTGATGTTCTAGTTCTATAGCTAGGATAGCATCATGCTGTTCTAGTTCTATAGCTAGGATAGCATCATGCTGTTGATGTTCTATAGCTAGGATAGCATCATGCTGTTGATGTCCTATAGCTAGGATAGCATCATGCTGTTGATGTCCTATAGCTAGGATAGCATCATGCTGTTGATGTCCTATAGCTAGGATAGCATCATGCTGTTGATGTTCTATAGCTAGGATAGCATCATGCTGTTGATGTTCTATAGCTAGGATAGCATCATGCTGTTGATGTCCTATAGCTAGGATAGCATCATGCTGTTGATGTCCTATAGCTAGGATAGCATCATGCTGTTGATGTTCTATAGCTAGGATAGCATCATGCTGTTGATGTCCTATAGCTAGGATAGCATCATGCTGTTGATGTTCTATAGCTAGGATAGCATCATGCTGTTGATGTTCTATAGTTAGGATAGCATCATGCTGTTGATGTTCTATAGCTAGGATAGCATCATGCTGTTGATTTTCTATAGCTAGGATAGCATCATGCTGTTGATGTTCTATAGCTAGGATAGCATCATGCTGTAGATGTTCTATAGCTAGGATAGCATCATGCTGTTGATGTCCTATAGCTAGGATAGCATCATGCTGTTGATGTTCTATAGCTAGGATAGCATCATGCTGTTGATGTCCTATAGCCAGGATAGCATCATGCTGTTGATGTTCTATAGCTAGGATAGCATCATGCTGTTGATGTTCTATAGCTAGGATAGCATCATGCTGTTGATGTTCTTTAGCTAGGATAGCATCATGCTGTTGATGTTCTAGTTCTTTAGCTAGGATAGCATCATGCTGTTGATGTTCTAGTTCTATAGCTAGGATAGCATCATGCTGTTAATGTCTTATAGCTAGGATAGCATCATACTGTTGACGTTCTAGTTCTATAGCTAGAATAGCATCATGCTGTTGATGTCTTATAGCTAGGATAGCGTCATGCTGTTGATGTTCTATAGCTAGGATAGCATCATGCTGTTGATGTGCTAGTTCTATAGCTAGGATAGCATCATGCTGTTGATGTCTTATAGCTAGGATAGCATCATGCGGTTGATGTTCTATAGCTAGGATAGCATCATGCTGTTGATGTCCTAGTTCTATAGCTAGGATAGCATCATGCTGTTGATGTCTTATAGCTAGGATAGCGTCATGCTGTTGATGTCCTAGTTCCAATTTGTCTCATTCAGTCATCCCTCTGCATCTACAGAGATGGGTCTACTCTAAGCTAAGGCAAGCTCTATGGTTTAGCATTGTGTGGAATCCACTGAATAGTGGCTGGTTTCTGCTCAGACATTCTCACTGGCTGTCTCTGTGGTTCAGTGTAAACAATTTCTGAATAAATAGTCTGGTTAGATTTGCAAGCCCCGGTAAGCTTAATGGAAATGGGATTGGCATTATTATAAATATGTATTTACCTCATGTAGCAGGTTGAGACACCCGAGCCCACTATATTCTCCTCCAGGGGTGATGTATTGATGTGTCTCAGTGAGTAGCCCTGCCCCTGATTCAGTGGCACCTTTCCACTTTTGTTAATGTGGTGGGGCACGATGCCCAGCCAAGGCTACGGTGCCAGGCTCAGTCACTGTGAGGGATGGT